TTCTATGCTTTGGGTCATTGTCCTGTTGCAACACCCATCTTCTGTTGAGCTTCAGCTGGTAGCCTTAAGTTCTCCTGCAAAATGTCTTGATAAACTTGGGAATTCATTTTTCCTTCGATGATAGCAATCCGTCCATGCCCTGACGCAGCAAAGCAGCCCCAAACCATGATGCCCCTACCACCATAATTCACAGTTGGGATGAGGTTTTGATGTTGGTGTGCTGTGCCTTTTTTCGCCACACATAGTGTTGTGTGTTTCTTCCAAACAACTCAACTTTGGTTTCATCTGTCCACAGAATATTTTGCCACTACTGCTGTGGAACATCCAGGTGCTCTTGTACAAACTGTAAACGTGTAGCAATGTTTTGTTTGGACACCAGTGGCTTCCTCTGTGGTATCCGCCCATGAAATCCATTCTTGTTTAGTGTTTTACGTATTGTAGATTCGCTAACAGGAATGTTAGCATTTGCCAGTGACTTTTGTAAGTCTTTTGCTCATTGAGCAGTCTGCACTGTGCTCTTGCAGTCATATTTACAGGACAGCCACTCCTAGGGAAAGTAACAGCAGTGCTGAACTTTCTCCATTTATAGACAATTTGTCTTACCGTGAACTGATGAACAGCAAGGCTTTTGGAGATACTTTTATAACCCTTTCCAGCTTTATGCAAGTCAACAATTCTTAATCGTAGGTCTTCTGAGAGCTCTTTTGTGCGAGGCATCATTCACATCAGGCAATGCTTCTTGTGAAAAGCAAACCCAGAACTGGTGTGTGTGTTTTTATAGGGCAGGGCAGCTGTAACCAACACCTCCAATCTCATCTCATTGATTGGACTCCAGTTGGCTGACATCTCACTCCAATTAGCTCTTGGAGATGTCATTAGTCTAGCGGTTCACATACTTTTTCCACCTGCACTGTGAATGTTTACATGGTGTGTTCAATAAAAAAATGGCAACATTTCATTCTTTGTAGTTATTAGTTTAAGCAGACTGTGATCTATTGTTGTGACTTAGATGATGATCAGATCACATTTTATGACCAATTTGTGCAGAAATCCATATCATTCCAAAGGGTTCACATACTTTTTCTTGCAACTGTACATAGCGCCAACTTATTCCGCTGCGCTTTATAATATTTTGAAAAGGGGAAATTTAACAATAAATAAGACAATTAAATTTTTTTACAGGAACAATAGGTAGATTAGGACCATGCTCAGACGAGCTTACAGTCTTTACTCATTCTATCACATGTGCTAACACTTCTTTACTCCCACTTGTACATGTACATTAATTCAAAACCACCACGTAGAAATACCTATAACTTTAATTTAAATATGCAAATATACATTTTGATTTGATTTAGACCAAGAGGAAGGATCTACTGACAGGGAGTGTCGTATTGTATTTTTATGAACTCCTATTAGGATCATTCTGTCTTTTAAAGTAGTGACCAGGGCATATCTCCTGAAATTTAGACACAGTAGTATTTGTAAGGTAAAAAGATTTCTTCATCTTGTATTGATGTTCTGTTAGCCCAATTATCTCATTCTATTGAGGAGCATCATTTTCCCTTTAATATCTAGCTATAGAAATTGTAATAGCTTAGAGTATATTAATTAATAATTATGTATGAGACATATTCATAAATGGCATATCCATATTTAGCAAAAATAATTGTGCTGACATATTAATAGCTACCCCTAACAATTGGGATAACATTTTTTTTCAATATCTTTTTAATGTAACCTACTTTTAACAGTAATGTGCAATATATGATACATGCTACCTTCTGAGTAGGATCTTGAGTTTGAGTAATATATTTTGTGCAATTTCCTTGGGACCATTGTGTAATATTTTATAATATATCTCATGAAGATTTACACAATGGACTGACTCCCTAGTAATGGTCCAAGCTCTACACCATGCTTCTTCTGAATATATTTTTCCAAAAGCCCTTTCCAATTTTTTTAAGTGTTTGATTTGAATTCAATATGATTTTTCCAAAACAGTTCCCCTGCATCCAGCTCAGCATACTGATGATCCGGTCATGTGATTGATCATATGGCGTGCAAAGGCTGGATTTGCTGCAGGGGAACTGCGTGGGTTGGCAGGCAGTCCCCCGAACTTGATCGCTGTTGAGGGACAGAGAGGAGCCCCTGGGACTCTCTTGTGGGAGCAGGGATTTAACCATGCTTATACTGTCATCTAGTTAGAGGCATGTAAATACCTATTCAAAGAGCTGCATGCTGCGCTGACTTTCAGCACTGCTTGAGACTGTTTAAAAAGTCTGAGGCCGGGGGAGGAGGGATGACATGAGGACACACACAGACTTGGAAGGTGAAGGGAAGGAAAGCAAGACCCAAGGGATGCTGATGGTAGCTTGTGAAGAGATCTTGAAGGGGATTTGCAGCAACAGAAAACTATGAATACTGATAATGGAGAATTCTGGGTTAGTTCGGATGAAAGGTGCTGAGAGAGCCAGAATTCTGCACTTTTGGGGGTAGCAAGGTGACTCCCGGTGTGGCGGCAATGTGGAAAGAGGTTTGCCCTGTGACTCTGAAGAGAAATCGAGGGACACAATGAAGACCAGCAGTGTATTCTAGGAACGACTGGGAGTAGCTGTGAAGGTGTCTGAACGTCCTGAGTTGAAAGGGGGCGGGAGAGGCTGAGGACCTCTCAATGGAAGGCGACGGAGACGGAGACGTGGATTCTTAAGAGGCAAGAGAGAAGGGGGAAAAAAGTTCTACTAAACTTGGTAATAAGTATTTAACTCTAAAATAAAGCACTGCAGAAATGGGAAAAAAATGGAAAACAAGCGCCAAAAAGAGCTAAGAATGATTTTAAACAAAAAAAAGCCCCAATCACCCTGAGGAGGGGAAGATATGGGTTTAAGTTCCACCTCAATTCAGGAAAAAGACTTAAAAAAAATCTGCTGGGATAAAAGCCCGCAAATCTGATTTGAAACAATTAAGGCTAAGTTACAGGCAAACACACAAGGGATAACAAATAAGCTTATATATCTAGGCCATTATTTAGGAAGAAAAACAGGAAGCTGCAAACATAGAAACATCCCAGATAAAAGACCAACAAAGTATTTTTCTTTTTCTTTTTTTAATTCTTTATTTTTGTTGTGGAAAGATTTCCACTGATTATAATGGTAACATATGATCTTACAATACAAATGGATGAAAGATAAACGTAACAATACTTGATGGTATACATGAGTCTTTCTTAGTTAAACACGCTATCAGCTTCAGTGTAAGTGATAGAACGAGTAGGGGGTATACTTTTATATCACGGGTCTGTATATCACGCTAGCTGCTCCTGTGGACACAAGGTGTGCAATATGCTATGGCATTTTGACATTCCGTGGGGGTTTTAAGATTCAATGGGTTGGTATCTTATGCTGGCAGCTCCAGCGGGTTTGGGGTGTACATTGTAGTCAGGTGCTCTAATGGCTCGTGGGGGCGTAAGAATGACGGGATTTATTGAATGTGCCAGCTGCTCAGCAGGGCTTAATATGTGCAGCTTGGCATATCTAGTCAGTAGCCCGTGAGTGTTTTGACTATTTGGTTCGACATACTGGCCTCCCTGGTGGACTCAAAACGAAATGTATGGTGTAACACGCTGGCCATCCACATAGGGCTAAAGGATACTGGCCGCTCATGAGAGTTTAAAAAGAAGCACATTGGTACATCCCGTTAGTAACTCTAATATATCTAAAGGTATAGCATATTGATTGGGCGCATTAACACTCGATGTGAGGTCATAATAGGCACACTGGTAACACTTGGTAACAGCTCTTATAAAGTTAAAATATACACATTGCCAGACCACTCTATTGATACACATACCGTTTAGGTGCATTCCTTAATAGCGCCTGTTCGTAGCTCTAGTGGAGTGGGTGTAAGTACTTTGGTAGGCATGTTGGCAAATCTTGTTTAGTCTAACGTTAACTGCTCAGAGGTGCCTGCTAGTGAAAGGGTCAAAATCAGGGGAGCTCCAAAAGTATAATAAAAAACTAAAATATTAAAAATAACTAACAGAAAATTATAAAGAAGGTCAGTCTCCAGCGATAATGCAGGTTTTAGGTCCAGTTTGAGCCTCTGTTTAGTCATTCCCATCATTTTAGCTGTGGCCTTCCCTCTGGGTTACCTGAGTTCCTCTGCGGGGCTTGCATATTGTTGGCTGTCCTTCAGGCCTAGAGTCCTATGGAGAGTTTTGTGGGCATAGCGGGTGTCGTGTTCCCTTGAGGTTACCCTCTCAGTGGGAGTCACCTGCTTGTAACAGAGTATTTTTCTAAGGAAAAGTGAGCTAATGGAAGCAGAGCTAATAGAACTCTAAGACTGTTCAAGATAAAATAATCTGTGCTTCAGAAATATACCTGAAGAGATAACAATAGACAGAAAAGCTTTCTAATGGATTTCCGTAAGGCATTGGGCTTGACTATAGACATGCAGAAAGAATTAATGGAACATTTCCATAGATTACCAAAAGCTAAATCAGTTCCAAGTCAGGCACCAAGAGACATTATAGTTTGTTTTCAATCATGTCTGATTAAGGAACAGATAGTGGTTGCACAAAGAGAAAATAAGACAGTGAGTGGGACATACAATAACATTAAAATCCTTCCTGATTTGTCATGCAGCAACTAGAACTAGGAGGAGATCTTTTCTATAAACAACCAAAGTACTCAGGTCCAATAAGATCAGATATAGTTGGGGATTCCCTACTAAGTTGATTTGACAATACCAAAACAAATGGGAATTTTTCGAAACACCAGAAAAAGCCAATTGATAGTTGCATTAAAAGCTATTGAGCTGTCCAAGAGATAGACATGAATAGAATGGAGGGGGTAGGGGCTGAAAAAGAAGAGTGATGTGTGAAAAATAAATAGCAGCGCGTAGCAGAAAAAATAGAGAGGGATAAGAGATAGAAGTAATGGGAAAAAAGAGAAAGAAAAAAAAAATTTTCTCTAAATATATTGAGCAAGACACAAAGGAAATTTAAATACTAAAAAATTTTTTATTAATTCATTTTTATTGAGGCATATAGCAAAGACAACATGTCCTCTGAGACTTGTGTCCTCTGTACTGGACATTTTGTTCACATACATCTCCTTTTATTCTTTTGATCAATTCCTGCTGTATTGTAAAGAGGACATCCTGTGCTTTCCAGTGATTTGTCATGTGATCGGATGGGATGCTGGGAACTTCCTCTTCCTTTTCATCAAAAATAGATGGCATAGCAGCAAGCACATTTTTCCTCGGTTCCCAGGAGGATATGGTCACACAAGAACATAAAAAGGTAGGCAAGACAGATAGATATATCAAACAGGAGCTGAGCTATTGCTATACCACTGGAAGATATCTAACACATCACTTAGAGAAAGTTTCAGCCTCATTTTAATAAAATGTAAGGAAGATAAACCAAGCTATGCAGACAACTATAGGTGCTACACTATGCAGTAACATAGACGAGTAGCAATAATGGAGTTTAGCTTACACTGACTGCAGCCCGACTCATAGGCTATAGATTTTCTATACTAACATAAGAAGATTTATTATCATCTTGGACATAGCAGACAGAGAAGACAAAACTTTAATAACAATCTTGTTAGACGCTGAGATAGCTTTTGTTTAGATTAGTTATGATTTTACGTTTCAGTCTCTCCAAGTTTTTGGGTTCAACATTCTTTTTCTGGATTCCATAAGAACACTGTGCTCCCACCCATTGGCACAAAAAATTGTTCAGAACGTAACGGCTAATTGGTTCGATTTAAGCAATGTGACCAGACAGGGCTGTCCCCTGTCACCCTTACTTTATGTTCTTACCATTGAAATTTTAGCAATCAATATAAGATCTAACAAAGGGATAAAGGGGTTTATCTGTAAACAAGTCGAAAACAAATTATGTCTGTGTGCGGATGATGTTCTTATAACAATAACAGATCCAGGCAGCTCTCTCCTTGAGTTAGTACAAGCCATGGATAAATACTCTAAAACATTGAATTATAAAATAAATATCAATAAATCGATTATTCTACCTATAAATTTACATAAAGATCTTTAAGAGTTTCTTAGGGCTTGTTTTAGTTTCTTTTGAACTATAAAATGAATAAATTACTTGGGTTAAAAATTAACCGTTAAAGTAGAAGAAATTATGGAATGGAACTTTATGATTGTTCTAAAAGATACAAATCATATCTGAATTGTTTTTGTTTTAGTCAACACAACTAAAATCTAATGGGTTTAATTAAAGCCTCTATCTGTCTCTTTTGCCCCTTCCCCAGCCCCTCTGTGTCTCTTTGTGTCCCCCCAGCCTCACATGTGTCTCATTCCCTCAGCCTCCCTATTGTGTCTCATTTCTTCTCCTCCCTCCCCCATGAGTCTAACTTGCCAGTGTAAATTTTGGTAGCACATTTCAATTTAGTTTTAGTCATAGTCTAAAAGCCATTTTAGTTTTTGTCGTATTTTAGTCATCTGAATTGTTTTTGTTTTAGTCTATTTTTAGTCAACTAAATCTCGAAAACTTTAGTCGACTAAAATCTGACTAAAATTGTTAGTCAACAAAATTAACACTGGAGGGGAGTCCCAGGAATCAAATGATATCTAAGGTTCCCGGCAATGAAACAGCACCTGCTGGTAAAATACTGCACAACGGAATTATTCCATCATGGCTTCTTAAGAGAAGTACAACCATGACGGAATATGAGCATGCTGTATTTAGCTTTAGTCTGGAACTTAGGGGCTGTCCATCTCGTATCCCTTTAAATCACTGTTATAAGCTTTGTTCATTTTCTGTCAGTGAATATAGTTAATGTGGAGGAGATAGAATATGCGCATTGGCAGAAATGAAAGGCTTAATCGTACATTCTAAAGTAAACAGCATTTCAGAAAGTTTAAAACTAATTTCAGGGGATTTTCATTTCAACTGAGAAATTTCTAGATAAGTGTCACAGTGCGCATTACAGTTGCTTGGACAGCGTAATATCAGCACATGCACTGTGTGCGCTCAGTCTGTTTAAACTCCTAACACGTGTATACTAAAGCATCAAGGAGGTTTTTCAGTGTTGTGTTAATATTAAATCCTGCAAATTTCCAGGTGATGGCAGATAAGTCTGCAGTTTCCAACCATTGTTTCTCTGTGTACTTGTCAGTAGTATCTTCTGTACTGTTTAAAAAAAAAAAAAAAAGGTAGTTGAAACAGTTCTACATGTGAAGAATCTGCTGTCACATAATGGGCTGTCTTAAAACTACATACCGTATTTATCGGCGTATAACACGCACTTTTTCTCCCTGAAAATAGGGGAGAAATTGTGGGTGCGTGTTATACGCCGGCCCTTTAAATACTGCAGCCGCCTGAGCGCTCTGTCAAGAGCGCTCAGGCGGCTGCAGTTGGTTCTCCTCAATTGGGGAGTAAGAAGGGGGAGGGGGGTAAGAAGAGGGGAGTAAGAAAGGGGTAAGAAGAGGGGGAGTAAAAAGGGGTAAGAGGGGGAGGGGGAAGTAAGAAGAGGGGGAGGGGGGGAGTAAGAAAGGGGGTAAGAGGGAGGGGGAGTAAGAAGAAGAGGGGGAAGGGGTAAGAAGAGGGGAGGGGAGTAAGAAAGGGGTAAGAGGGGAGGGGGTAAGAAGAGGGGGAGGGGGAAGTAAGAAAGGGGGGTAAGAAGAGGGGGAGGGGGAGTAAGAAAGGGGGTAAGAGGGGGAAGGGGAAGGGGGGGTAAGAAGTTCTTTATTTGAAATTTAAAGGACCACTCTAGGCACCCAGACCACTTCAGCTTTATGAAGTGGTCTGGGTGCCAGGTCCCTCTAGGATTAACCCTTTTTTTATAAACATAGCAGTTTCAGAGAAACTGCTATGTTTATACTGAGGGTTAATCCAGCCTCCAGAGCCTCTAGTGGCTGTCTCATTGACAGCCGCTAGAGGCGCTTGCGTGCTTCTCACTGTGAAAATCACAGTGAGAGCACGCAAGCGTCCATAGGAAAGCATTGTAAATGCTTTCCTATGCGACCGGCTGAATGCGCTGCGGCATTCAGCCGATGACGCCGCGAGCAAGGAGGAGAGGAGGAGTACAGCTCCCGCCCGGCGCTGGAGAAAGGTAAGTGTTTAACCCCTTCCTCTCTCCAGAGCCCGGCGGGAGGGGTCCCTGAGGGTGGGGGCACCCTCAGGGCACTATAGTGCCAGGAAAACGAGTATGTTTTCCTGGCACTATAGTGGTCCTTTAAGTTTTTTTTCCCTGAAATTTCCTTCTTAAAATGAGGTGCGTGTTATACGCCGGTGCGTGTTATATGCCGATAAATACAGTAATCATTTTTATACCTGTAATTACTGTTTAAAACAAAAACTCTGCAAAGAAATGCAATAATACAACTGCCTAATAATGTACAAACGGGAAGTTCAGGCAAGTTAAAAATATCACATTTTAATGAAACCCTCAAACGTTATAAATAAACCCGATACTTCTATAACCTAGACTTCTAATGCCCAAATGTTTTTTTAAATCTTTATTTTTGCAGGTGTTATGTTACACCACAATAATAGACAACAATCCATATGTGAGCGCTTCACAACACATTGACAGCATTGTCTCGAAAATACATACAGTTTTGTTTCTTTTTAACTAAAGTGGCCTTGAAAGGGCTAACATACTCTTAGCAAGAGAACCATAAGCGAGGGACCAATCCGGTTTAATTACTGCCTAGATTATAACGCTTTGTCTGCAAGGCATATCATTACACCTTACCTAGGGGGCAGCAGCAGGTGCTGATGAGACTTAATATAATAGACACCATCTATGTTGAACTGTTTTTCTGGTAACGAAGTGGCCACCAGCCGTCTAATAAAGTTGTGCAATTCTTCCATCAAAACAGTGTCTGCGACAACCCTTATTTTTTAGGTTCTACCGACACCAACACCATTTTGGTCCAGAGTATCCACCAGTAGTGTAAGGGAAGAAGGTTGGACCTGCAATTGGGGACTGTCGCACCCATAGTAGTCCGTCTTTGTTTGGGGTCTATAATGTCTTCCTCTGAGGCTCGAACATGAGTGGTGACTGCCTGCACCACAGTTTTTACCACTGATAAGTTGGTTGCAAACAACTTTTAAATGTCTGAGTATAATTTTGGTGTCTCATTTGGTGGCGGGTGTATCTCTCTCTGAATCCGCCATGACCAGAATCACTGAAGTGGAGAGATTGCCGGCAGGGTCTCCAGCCTCCATATCACCTGCCAATGGGGGAGGGGAAGTTCCTGAGTTAGCTGGTTCAAATCCCTTGGTCCACTCAATATCCCAGATGTCTTTAGCTGCAGACGTCTGTGATTTCTGGGACCTCCGACCCATGCCATCCAATGGTGCAATCTGGCCCAGTGGGAGTTCAGGTGAGCCAAGATTTAGGCCCCTCCAGGCATCAGTGAGGCACACAGCCCTTGCTGGATGCCTGCATGCCAGGTCTGGATCGGCCAGCATATGCATTTGGTGCCCATTTGCAAAAAGAAGGCATCCACTTTATCCTCTCAACACTCTGCCGAATCCAGCTATTGACAGGGTATTTTAGAGGTATGATTCTTGAAATTGAGCTTTTTTCGGCTGATACTGCGAGTAGCTCTTGAAAAGGTGTCTTGGCCAGATTACCATGAAACTCTGCTCATGCCCAAATGTTTTGAAGTACATATAGGTTCAGGTTTCCTCGTTAAAGGGCACTTTCTTCCCTTAAAACAACTTCATCTCAATTAAGTATTTTGAGGTCTGGAATCACTGTTTGAATCTTATCTTAAAATTGTAATTTGTCTGGAATGTATACCATCGAATAAAACATTAAAGGGACACTCCAGTGCCAGAAAAACAATCCGTTTTCCTGGCACTGCAGGTCCCCTCTCCCTCCCACTTCCCATCCCCGGTTGCTGAAGGGGTGAAAACCCCTTTAGTCACTTACCTGAGACCCCCGCCGATGCCCCTCGGCGGTGGTTTCGGGTCGCCACCGCTCCTCCCTTTCCTTACGTCAGCCGGTGGGCGATACTGATCCCACCCGCCGGGGAGACCTAATGCGCACGCACATTAGAGCTCTCCATAGGAAAGCATTGAAAATGCTTTTCAATGCTTTCCTATGGGGAATTGAGCGACGCTGGAGACAGCCACTAGAGGAGGAGTTAACCCTGCAAGGTAATTATTACAGTTTATGAAAAAAGTTGCAGTGTTAAGGGTAGTGGGAGTTGGCACCCAGACCATTCCAATGGGCAGAAGTGGTCTGGGTGCCTGGAGTGTCCCTTTAAACATCAAGTATAGTTTGTGCTATTTCTTTGGTAAGATTGAAAGATTTAGCAAATAACATCATAATTCATTTAGACAAGACAAAGCCAGGGAAAATGGAGGAGTAATATAAAACGGTTTCATTTCCCCTCTTCTCTTTATATTTTCTCTATGCTAACTGCCAGGTGTAAATGACAGGGCTTATAACAATAATTGGCTGATGGTTAAGATAGAGGTGCCCAGTTGCAGGATAAAAAGATTTAGTTTCCTATAATTAATTTCAAATTTTTTACAACCAGTAAATGCATATTTTTTAAATATAGAGATATTTATACAAAATGTAATTCCTGCAACATGAAATAAAATCTGTAATCCAGCAGTGAGACTGTCTCCTCATCATAGCTCCACTCCAGCTCCAGGAGATCATCAATGCTTATGGTCTCCCAGCCAATAGAACGCTTGTTAATGCGCAACTCTTTTTTTAATTTATTTTTCTAATTCTTTATTTTTGCATCAACAATGGTCACAGTATACATAGGCTTACGAAGAAGCCAAACAGAGGTACATATCGATTTACATAATGGCACAGCGTCATGTCGCGTATCCGTGGCCTCGTGTAACGTTTGCCCTTCATCAATAGTTTTCAGTACAGTTATTTAGCATAAACATTAGTTAAAACTATGCTGCTTAGTCTGTTTGTCCCCTCCCATCAGGTGGGTCCACCACCACACTGTCTGTGTCATATTGTTCCCACAGCTCCCACACCTTGTAGAAGGAGTACGAGGAGTTGCGGACCATTGAGGTCAGCCTTTCCATTAGGCAATCATCCCTGATTTTGTGTAGGACTAGCAAGAGAGGGGGCACCTCCGGGCACATCCATTTTTGTGTTATGGCTCTACGGGCAGCCAGATAGATCCTATTAAGTAAGATTTGTTCGTGCCTGGGCATGCTGTCTGTGGGTCTCGGGAGGAGACATGCCCACGGGTTAAGTTCAACCCGTCTCTGCAAGATTTTGGAGCTCAATTCTACTACTCCTTCCCAGAACACTCTAACCCTGGGACAGTGCCACCACATGTGGATGTAGCTTCCTCTGTCTCCACACTGGCGCCAGCATATGTCCATTGGGCTGAGTTTCATGTGGTATTGTTTTACCGGTGTGGTGTACCACCTGAAAAGTGTTTTAAAAGATTGTTCTTGCATAGTCACGCAGACAGAGGGGCGTGCGCAAGCCTCCCATATGTTCTCCCATTCCACCTCTTCCAGCACCTCTTCCAGGTCAGCCTCCCTTACGTCTGTGTACCTCAGCCCTCTCCTGTCTGTTCCGGTTGAGCTTAGGTGGTGGTACAACGTCGATAGTAGCCCCTCGCAGGTGACTCTTTAAAGCACAGCCTCTCAAAGAATGTCATGGGGTAGTCGTCGCTGCCCTAATGTCTTTCCTTTGTGCGAAATCCCTGATTTGTATATATCGGTAGTAATCTCTGGTCTGTAGGGGTGCGAGTTCTTTCAAGTGGTCGTAAGTCACTATGGTATTGTCTATGTACAAATGGACGTATCTCTGCAGTCCTGTGTATTCTAAACCCCGAAAGTCTCTCGCTATCATACCTGGTGGAGTATTGGGGCCATGGGTGAAGCAGGGCTACTAAGGGAGTACTTGGAGGCCGTCCCATATCCGAATGGAGTGGAGTATGGCCGGGCAGTCTGTCTTCAGCAATACTGTGTCACATAAAGAAATGGGGAGATCTGCTCCCGTCAGAAGGGACTCAATATCGAGGGGCGACTTTTTTAACTCCTAAAGCACTTGAGCAAACAAAAACAAAAAAAAAGTCATCCCTTTGAACTTGAAGAAAGGAGAATTTGCCTGTGGCAAAGGAAAGGGTTCTTTGCAATTAAACAATAACAATGTTAATTTCTCTACCTACTGAACATTGTTTTTTTTGTTTTTTGTTTTAATGGATCCTTTTTTGAAATTATATATTCTAGGATGTAATAGTTAATATGCACAGTAACACCTTGGAAACAGAAGGACAAATCTGACTGCCATTGTCTAGAAGGTTTTTTTTCATCTCTTTTTTGTGTCACAATTGGAAATGTCTTCAAATAGGTTTTTTCACTTTTTTTTCATCAACTGCACAAACAGATGGAAGACTGGAGTCTTTTTTTCCCAATCTACATTGCAATTTAACAATAAAATGCATTAAAGTCCCTATCAACATACAATAATATATGTTCTTCAATATTTAAAGAAGTATATAAAGTGCAACCTTCGGGTTATTCCTGCTTGAGGTCATATTACACATTGCACTTTAGATCAAATATAAAATATTGAGTGTTCGTGTAATACTGCTATGAAAAAACTGTAAAGCCGTTAACTTATCTTGGGGTAAAACCTTCATATGTTATATTCACACGTGTCATTGTGTAAAGATTATTTTCTCTGCAGGTGGGTTGCCATGCCAATGACTGTGGAATGGAAAACCCCTCCAGCACATATAGTAAGCTATTGTTATTACGTACAGCATACCAGTATGAAGTCTACTCAGATGGGGTAACAGCAGTGCCTCTCATTTGTGGTAAAGGCCTGACCTTCCTGCTGTGTCGCAGCATACCACTCCTACCTTTCAGCAACCCATCATCATTAAAATCCAAGCGATCAATAAATGATTGGCACACATGGGTAAATCTGTCATTGAGTGTGACACACAATACCAAGTGAACTGCTAATCTCCAACAGCATGATCCAAGATATAAATCATAGACCCTACATCACATCACTTTGCTGATAATATTTTCTCCTAGTAGGACAGTAGGAGAAAACGTCACTATAGTATCAGCGGTTCGTATAGTTATTTTCAACAGAAGGATTTCTCAAAATACCTGCACTTGCTGTTTCAAAGTTATTTTACATGTTCAGAATGGGCTGGTTCCACAAAGTAACTGCTATGGTGAAACAAATCATATAAAGCTTTATGATGCAGGAACAAACTTCAATTTCAATGTTTAAACCTGAGTGCGGTTCTCACTTTTCACACAATCTATATACACATTTTAATGATCTACAAAATGCTTGGGGGGAAAGGGACCTGAAAGAGGCTGTCCATCAGCACTAACAAAAATGAGGTTACATTCTTTTAGTTTACTTTCGATACTGCCTACATGTAAATTAGAAGACACGTATGCAGTATTGTCAACTATTCACTACAATTCAGTGTTCAGTGAATAAACTCTATTTGTTGATGACTTCTGCTGCTTGTTTTATTTCTCCCCAGGAAAAGAAAGCCCAAGAATGCTCATTTGGGCGCCAAAGTAATGGCTCCCAAAACGTTAGTTTTTTTAGAAAATACAGAAGCAGAAAACATCAGCCAATGTCTGCTGTCTTCCAAAACGACATTGCATGGGGAAGAGTCAGGGGCATGTTGCACATTTCAATGAATAATAGAAAAAGTAAGTTTTAACGCAGCACTGTTACTTCTGAGCTCTTTTCATGCAAAGACCCTATAGTGACATGTTCGCTTGAATGGTGGTGGCAGAGTAGTACAACAGTTATATTGATGCTCTCCCTCCTAAGTGCCACTATGTTCCTCTCTGGTCCATCAAAACTCGCTGGCAATGTTTCCACAACTGTTTTTTTTTGTCAGATTTAAGGCTGCATAAAGTCATATTACAGCATCACTGGGACTGAGAAATCTTTAAGTTGTTTTCTGTAATTTTGGTGATATAGGTGGAGATGGAGGCCCGAGGTCGCCTTCTGACAGTCCTGGATTAGTAGGTACAATTTTTGTGATAATCCCCTGACTGCTCCATCTACCAGGAGCCCACATCACTGATGCATTCATCACAATAGTACAAAACAGGGGTATATGGAAGATCCTACAAGACAACAGAATCCTCTGCAGACCATTTCACTCATGCTTAATAAATTGCCATAGGCATAGACAAATCAGTCTATAGTTAGGTCATATGTATATGTAGCGGATGGCCCTGGGCTGTCCTGCAAATTTCTTTGAAATAACTGCATTCGTGTGATCTGCTAGTTTTCTATGTGTTTTAAAAGAATTGTATTCCTCTGATTGTTCGGTAGAATCATTTGAATAAACTAAGGGAATGAAACTACCGAACAATCAGACCTCCCCTGTGTTAAGTGTGTCCTCAATCACCCGTTGCAACATTGTTGCGAACGGGTAATTGACAAGTTAAGTAGCCGTCCTTTGTTCTCGGGGGTGGCCGCCATTCGACAAACGAACACGTGGCGGCGGCCATTTGAAAACTCCCGAACAGCGGTGTTTTGCCGTTGAGTGTCTGGAACTCAAATCGGACACTCGACTAGGTGAACACCGCTGAAACCTCCACAAGCCCGGTCCGTTCGGTTCCAAACTACCGAACGGCCCCTCGTTCGGTAGATAGAAAGAACCGAACGAGGGGATTCAGGCGAACCCTCCCTAGCCTCTATAGCTAGAGGCTTTCGTGCAGTTTGTTCCCTTATTCCAGGACCGACCGCAGGGCCCATTCGCATGGAACTGTATTCGGCTATTTCAGTCAGTGCGGTCGGTCATTTTATTCCCTCCATAAATTTCCCGAACCCCTGGTATGATCTGGGTGATTTTTGGATATGTTGTTCACCCAGATCAGGGCTATCAGGGGATGTAGGATTTAAAGGGGTACTGCTGGAAACCTTGCCTGTGGATTTATTATTTACTTGTTCCTGAGCCTCACGTGGATCATAAGCGGAGATAACCTGGGGAATATTGCATCTCCGCTACAGTATATCTTCTGATTATGGTCTCATTTTAATAAGCTTTCAGAATGATAAATCATTTGGAAGGTTTTTCTAACAGTACTGAATTATTTGGAAAGACTATAAAATCAATGAAATTCCAATGCTGTCTGTAAGACTTTTTTTTTTTATAAACATAGAATCTTTATGGAAAAACTCAGAACTGACAGTGTTGTTTTAAAGCATTTTTTTTTTTTTTTAACATTATTGTTTAAATGACTAATACTTTAATATGTAACTGGTATATTTAAACCAAAGTTACTGTTTCAGGATCACAGCTTGTCAAACCACAATCACGATTCAAAATAAAATTATCATATTTTAACAAAAAACAAAAACTTGCAAATAAAATATGAGTATTACCACATACAAACAATGTTGGTTCAATGTTCAATCTTTGATTTGGTGCATATTCTTCTCAATCTACGCTGCCTCCCTTGGTAAACTCATTATCTTCTTTGGCTTGCAGTATCATTTCTATGCGGATCACATGCAAATGTATCTGTCCTCCCCTGATTTCTCACCACCCTTCTTGTCTCGTGTCTCTGACTGCCCCTCTGCTATTTCCAACCGGATGACTGCTCATTTCCTTAAACTAAACCTGTCCAATACAGAACTTCTGGTCTTCCCTCCCTCAAGTGTAGCTACTCTCTTGCCTATTTTCCTCCACATCAATGGTGCTACCATCAGCCTTACCTTGCAGCGAGCTGTTCTTTTTGACTCCGACCTCTCCTCTCCGATTCCGACTCTATTTAACGCCTGATACGGCTAAGGTGCTTGTCCATGCCGCTGTCCTCTCTCACCTTGACTACTGTAATCCACTTCTCAGTGGTCTTACGTATACCCAACTTGCCCCATTGCAGTTTATAATGAATGCAGCGTCGAGGCTTATATTCCTGACCGCCCACACCTCCCCCTTCTATCAGTCCCTACATTGGCTTCCTGTAAGAAATAGGGCTCAATTTAAGATCCTGGTACTTGCTTACAAATCTTTACATAATGCTGCTCCAACCTACTTATTCTCACTAATACACAAATATGCCCTGTCTAGGCCCCTACATTCTACCGAAGACCTATGTCTGATCTCTGTTCGTACTCCTACCTCTGATGCTCACCTTTAAAAACTTCTGCAGGGCTGCACCATTCCTATGGGACGCCCTTCACCTAAGACTTTCACTCGGTCTGCACTCCTTCAAAAAATCTTTGAAAACTTACTTTTTCAGGAAAGCATATCAATTAAACTGTGAACAGCTTTCCCTCCCTGCACCCTGATTCCTCAGCTGTAACTGTCATCAAAACAAAACACTAGGCCCTCAGTGAATACTTTTCAAGTAACCTACTTTTCTACCCTACCCTTACCTTTTGTGTCACTATACCCCACAACCTCTAGCATGTAAGCTCATTGAGCAGGGTCCTAAACCCCTCTGTTCCTGTGTGTCCAACTCATCTGGCTACAAATACGGGTCTGTTAGTCCACACATTGTACAGCGCAGCGAAATTTGCTGGTGCTTTATAATTAATAATAGTAATATCTACTCTAAATCTTCCTGTCAATCTTTCTTGCTGGTTTGTTTGCCATGATTGAACCTTCCCACCCCATGCTAAATTTATTGATTTGCTTGCTTTTTATACATGCCTACTCCCACCTCCGTCCTCCCCTCAATTTTTGCCTGCTATTCTTGCCCCTTTTCTTCTTCTGTCTCATTTCTCTCATTTTCTTTGTTCTCCTTTTTTCCTACTTCACAATAAACAAGATAGTATGCATCCAAATGGTCTGGGATATCACAGTGATAAATGTCATTCTATTTGAAACATTTATGTAGTCTTCGTTACAATTTTTTTTAAATTTATTTTTAATAAAAATGTACATGGACAAAACATTTGTTCTAGCCTTGCTTTATGTATGAATAATTTGAGGTATGTTAAATTGGCTCTGTCACCTTAAGGGGCTTTGTAGATCCATGTTTGTGGGTACATGAAGGTAAAAATACTTACTTATAGCTGTCCCCTATGCATGCCATCATTTTCTGGCTTCAGCTCCTGGTGCTTCATCCACAAAGAGTCAAGTCAATTATCTACTCCATTATGTACTCTCACACATAATCGTGAACTCTTGTGATCAGCGAGAAGCAGCCGGCTTGACAAAACTTGTCAACCTTGTGCTTCCCTACTTTGTCTTATGACATCACTTGATTGCGTAGCAATTTCATTAAAATTACAACACAGTCAATACAAATTTTTCATAATGATTCTTTCTGAAGTTCTGAAACTTTTTGGTGAGATGACAGAGCCACTTTAACTGTGTAGGACACAATCGGTTTATGGATACTCACACAAATGTTGCATAGAAAAGACGTTCTGATAATGCACAAAGTGCAAAGAAGAGCTCTGGGTCAAATTTGGAGTTTTCCTCAGCTGCTATTTTTGTCATTAGATCCTTTACTTGTCTGGGATGTATTTCATTGAAATATAGGTTGTTCAAAGCACATTCTGTCTCCTAAACACAGAAAGAAAGTGATATTGAAGCATACCATTAATATGAAGTTGAGTATCTCCCTTTGTCAAATATAGTGGCCCTGCATTTGCATTGGAGAATGAAATCGGGTAAAAAGAAAATAACTAAAAAATAGCTGACCCTAATGGTGAAGCATAAACCAAAATATAGTAAGACTCATTTGAATTTCGACAGTATCTTATAACCCCTTTGACACCACATAACAAAAATAGCATAAAAGCAAAAAGGCTTGGGAATCTCTGGAGTTAAAACCATTTCAACACAGTGGACTGCAAATTAAAAAAAGAGACTGTAAGGACACTATTTAAAACCCTCATGCCAGATGGACACTAATTGTACTCTGAAAAGCATCAAGGGAGAAACGCATTGGTGATTTTACAATATGTTTTACTTACCTGTATTTTGCTCATTTCAAAATTTTTTACTTCTTAAATATTACTGGATCCTGTAAATCAGGTTACCAAGAGGATCCATTTGTGGGGACAATACCACCTAAAGCCTTACTATCTGTGAGCACAGTATACGGCTTGTGATCTTGTAAGTATTCTGGGTATAGCTCCTTTGTTTTCCATCTTCACATATTTCATATGTTGTAATACACCTTTTATCCCCAGCGTGGCTATACTGCCATCACTGTCAAATGTAACATTACAGAATAGCTCTGCAACACGCAAGTAAAACATTTTTTATTCCTTTATCAAGAAATACATTGTTGCCGAAACTGACTTATACATCATATATTTATTTCCCTTTCTCTGTGGGTACTCTAGCTATTACAAGCACCACTACAAGCAAATAGTAGGATCAGGGAGCAGCGCCTGTGATGGAATTCCCACGCTCAGAGCGATATGGAGGAGGGAAGGAAAAAGACACAGATATAGTGAAGTATGTTAGGATCTTAAGTGATAGTAAATGAAGGGAAAGGAATTGCACTTACAATTTTCTGGAGCTTATACTCAGCTCCAGATATGTGCGCCTGGACGGTATACTCCCCATCTATGGATATAGACTATTACAAGCAAGATTGTCATATTTCTTATCAAAGTCTGAGCGCAACTTTATTCTTCTGTTCATTTGTATTTGAATTTCCAGTCTAACTGTATGAGTTGGTAGGTTTTAAAGTATTGCTGCGATTCCTCTGCATTCTTGCACCGTATTATTGTTTTCTTAACTTTTATAGATACGTATTGTACTAAGGGGTAGACATATAGATAATGTATTAAAAAAAGGAAACCAAAAATATAAAGAAACTACTTGGCAGGTTAACAGCAACTGCCACAAGCCATTGTGTTTTTAAGTACATGCACATTAACTGCTCAGTTTCACTCATTGAAATCTATGAGGCAGCCTATTTGGACACTATTTGGACACTGGTATTTGGACACTGGAAAGTATTTATAAAGTATGTTGCACCCAGAGTAGGAGATCTGAATATATATATATGCTGTGATTTGATAAAGAGAGAGACAGAAGTGGGGAACATCTTCAACCATAACCTCCGCAAGTAACATAAGTGTGTTATCCAACTAGGCCGTCTTACTATCTCCATCTACCAAACAGTGCATAGGATGGGCTTGGAGTCAGTACCACTAGCATCCTACCTTCCAATAACCACTTGTGTTTTGCCCATGATGTGGGTCCTAGATTCAATCGGGGTCTATGCTACATTGTTTACTAATATATATTTAAATTTTTTGGTGGGAGAGATCAATCCGTGAATTTGGTAACAACATCAGAGAGATGCTAGTATAACTTTTTAAGGGGTTGCAAAGTAAATGAATGCAGCTTTGACAGAGGATTTGCTTGTTGTGCTAGTGAGATACTTTCCCTTAGCTCAGAGAGCATCCCAACTCAGGAGCAGTGATAGTGCCAAGAAACCTTGACACTTTATCGCTCCTTTAACACATTCAATAAATTGGAACCCTTCTGAAGAACAGATCCAAGAACAGGAATCAGTTTACAACATTCACATTAGTCTTGATGTCCCTCCATCTCACAGACAGGTCAAAGAAAGTCTCAAAGTAGAATTCAGATTCACATCCTGCTGTAGGTTCTTTGTCATTCCATAAACGGATACAAGACCATGGGAAAGTATCTATTTTTAATTTGTATTACTATGGAAACAAATTAACATTTTTAGTACTATTTAAAGAAGTCAGACCCACAATTGGGAGTTTCAAGTAACAAACAATTTATTAAATACAACCTATAGCTTCCCAGCTCAGCGACCTCTAATTTTAGCAAGACTGCTTCAGGACACACTTCCTAAGATGTCCAGCAAGCCTGTGTTGTTGCTGAGAATCAAATGAAATTTAGATCACAAATATCTGCATTTCAAAGGTTTGAAAACATTGGAATATGGCCAATGGTGGTGCGAATGTTTATTACACGACTTTCCATCAGAACCGTACTGTAAAGTCATGGGTTAAATAGGGTTACACCCCCTTACTGGTCAAAGGTTGCACTTGGTTTCATGAGACCTACTAATATTAGGCATCTTCATGTAGCATATTAGTCATTTATTTAACAGAACATTCCATTTTGGAAAACGATATTTAAAGGAACACTACAGGCGGCTGTGGAAGTGCTGTATGTGTGTGGAGTCTGTAATTGTTTTCAATTTATAAAACTGCTGATTTCTGTTAACCGGGTGTCAAAACACCTCCCTTGTTGCCAATCAGACAACCCCTGCCTTTCCCTTTTTTCAATGCACTAAAGTACATTGGAAAGCCAATGTTGTGTGTCCTTGGCTCCAGCAGAGATAAATCTCAGTGAAAGGCCTCTGACTGGTCAATTTACTGCTACAGACTAAAGTCTGTGTTGGTAAAAGAGGGGCTGAGGACAGCAGGTCTGCAGATTTTGCAAGCCTTTATCCCCCTGTATACACTCTCCAAAAAAAACATGCAGAACAAAATACATGTATGTTTTATTTGGGGTATATCTACTAAGTAGTGAGATTAAAAAATAAAAATAAAAAATATTTTCAAGGGAGTTCTCCTTCAACCCCTTAAGGACACATGACATGTGTGACATGTCATGATTCCCTTTTATTCCAGAAGTTTGGTCCTTAAGGGGTTAAAGGAACATTCCAAGCACCATAACAACTACATCTCACTGGTGCTGGAGTGCCCTGTTTTGCAGCAAGTAGCCAAACTATTTTAGTTTGGTTTGCCAACTTACTTGGGTCGTGCTAGGCGCTCCTGCTCCACACACAGAAGTTAGATATTGCTACAGAATAATGTATGATAAATCCAGGACTGCAGCACTCAAAAAGGGACACTCCAGGCTGGAATTAATATAGCCATGCATTAAAATGGAATAGTCACCCGGCAGATTTTGTTTTGTTTTTTGTCTCTGACCCATTGTTTTTATTTTATTTTTTTACTTAATAAAAGGTAAAGACTATGTTTTCTTATGGGAAGCATGAGCTTTGACAGCTGGATGAGATAAAGGACATCTGTCATCTAAAAAAATTTTTTTTTTGAATAAAATAATCCTCTCATGTTTTGTTTTTTTTAAATGACGTTTATCTAGAATTACTATATGTGAAAATGATAAAACTTCATATCTGTCTATAGTATATGACAAGATCCTTCAGCCCCAGTGGCGTCCCTTCCGCGGTCACAGGGTTTTGCAGCTGCGACTGGGCCTGTCACTCCAGGGGGCAAGTTGTCCTGCCGACCACTGCGAATGCTGTGCTGCTCCCCTCCTGCCGATCTCCGCAGCTGGGTACCGTGGCAGCCACGAACAGGTACAGGAGGGCAGTGAGATAATGTGACTAATGGGTGGGGGCTAGGGGAGAGAGAGACACATGGAGTGCAGGCTAGTACATCACATAGTGTGGGGCTGCTTATGGTATATTGTGTATGGATCATACATCACATAGTGTGGGGCTGCTTGTGGTATATTGTGTGTGGATCATACATCACATAGTGTGAGGCTGCTTGTGGTATATTGTGTATGGATCATACATCACATAGTGTGAGGCTGCTTGTGGTATATTGTGTATGGATCATACATCACATAGTGTGAGGCTGCTTGTGGTATAGTGTGTGTGGATCATACATCACATAGTGTGAGGCTGCTTGTGGTATATTGTGTATGGATCATACATCACATAGTGTGGGGCTGCTTGTGGTATATTGTGTGTGGATCATACATCACATAGTGTGAGGCTGCTTGTGGTATATTGTGTGTGGATCATACATCACATAGTGTGGGGCTGCTTGTGGTATATTGTGTATGGATCATACATCACATAGTGTGAGGCTGCTTGTGGTATATTGTGTGTGGATCATACATCACATAGTGTGAGGCTGCTTGTGGTATATTGTGTGTGGATCATACATCACATAGTGTGGGGCTGCTTGTGGTATATTGTGTATGGATCATACATCACATAGTGTGAGGCTGCTTGTGGTATATTGTGTGTGGATCATACATCACATAGTGTGGGGCTGCTTGTGGTATATTGTGTGTGGATCATACATCACATAGTGTGAGGCTGCTTGTGGTATATTGTGTATGGATCATACATCACATAGTGTGAGGCTGCTTGTGGTATATTGTGTGTGGATCATACATCACATAGTGTGGGGCTGCTTGTGGTATATTGTGTATGGATCATACATCACATAGTGTGGGGCTGCTTGTGGTATATTGTGTGTGGATCATACATCACATAGTGTGGGGCTGCTTGTGGTATTGCAAGTGAGGTGAGAGACTGCTTGTGTGGTTGTGTGTGTGGATGTGGATTGTCAGTGGTGTTGTGTTTGTGGGGACTGTGTGAGTTTGTGTGTGTTCTGTTTGTATGATTTGTATGAGGGGGAGACTTATTCTGCAGCACTGTGTATATCTAGGAGTGTGGGTGGCTTCCATAAGGTCCAGTGGGGACTGGTCTGGCCAGGTTTAGGTCAAGCTACGTTTTTGCTGCAGGGTGCTCTATTCCAGTGCGGATTCCTGTTCACAGGTTCTGGGTGGAAGTGATCTGAGATCACTTCCCCTAAGTGCTGCAGTGCGTAAATTGAGGATTGTTCCTCACCACCTTTCTACGCTAGAAGATATCTGAAGTTCAAATGGGATTCCTTTTTGGCTCTGGCAGCCTTGAGTTTGGTGCACAGGCACTTTGAGTACCATGCCTGGCACATGTGCCATAGATTGCTGACCCCTGGTATAGAACATAGATGCAGACGTTTGTGAACTACATAGGGTACTTTAGCCAGCCATCACTGGCCTTGGACATGGAATCTCTGGCCAAGATATCTTCACTGCCTCCTGCAGTTATAATTGATATGCAAGATTTAGCAATTATTCCATGTAGCTACAGGACTTGAACTTTATACAGGTAAAGATAAAGATTGTTCCAGAAGTAATGGCTGGCATTGCTATTGGATTTTTTTTTCTTGCTAACAAGCTGTTAGCAGGTAATTTGTTTTGAACACAACTGCCTGAGCTCCAGTCTACCTTTATGCTATAGCAATGTCCTCGTCAAGGTCATCTTGATATATGTTCTGCTTTACTCTTTTACTAACGTGGTTACATTGTGCAGGTTTATGATTTGTTAAAAGCACATATACCCAGATATGAAGAATTGTAACCTTCACTTGATATCTAAGACAATTTTACAGTTTTGCACACATTCCAGAGTTTAAAAAGAAAAGTTACTTTGGAATTATTCATAGCCTCTTTAACCCCTTAAGGACCAAACTTCTGGAAAAAAATGGAATCATGACATGTCACACATGTCATGTGTCCTTAAGGGGTTAATTTCAGGAATCATATGTATTCATTTCAGGATTCAAATGCATTTGGTATTATTTAAATGATTTTGGGGTATAGAAACTGTCTTCCACGTCAGAAAGGGAAACAACTAAAGCATTAAATGCTGCTGAATGTTTCCCAGATACCCTTCAGGGTTTATATGAAAGGGTTTTAGAACAGCCATTCACGTGAATACCAGACATAGCTACAAGCAGTTTCATTCATGAAAAAGAGGAACATAATGCTACTGATGGAAGTTAATATCAGCTGGCTTTTCATGGATAAAGTTACACGCTCTCCTACTGCATTCTGTTCAGCACTCAATAGAAAGCTGAGAGCAATAGTACATATCCTACAATTACACCTTCTGTGCAGGCTTACGGGCATGTGCTCTCACTCAAAAGCATGGAAGAAACAGGATTAGAGACACTTACTTGTCTCACTACTGAACATCCTAAGGATCTGATCCAAATTTAGGAGCTACACAAACAGGGAATATGATTGTCCTTCGATTTGTCCCTGCTCAGGACTCAATTGCTTCAATACATTCAGGAGCTATTGTTATATGTTGCTTTTTTTTATTTGGTTGTATGTTTATTATCTGACTTAATTATGCAGTAAAATGTGCCAGATGTAGCCTGAGTACAGTATTATAATTAGAGGGTGACATGTCCAGTGGGCATGGTTCATTGCCTGCTGAACAAATACTGTCAATTAATGTGGTGTGTATTCATTGTTTCATTGTCAAAATACTGTATGCTTAACTAATGTGAAGTTTGTAGCGGCTGCATGGGATTGTTACTCAGTAGAGATGGTATGATTGACTACAGGATGATAAAGGTTAATTTGGCTCCCTAAAATGGTGTAGCAATTAAGGCATGTTCTATTTTCCTGTTTGTAAACCAAATAGCGCAGAGGAATTTACAAATGGTCTCTGACCCCTGATTTCTGAGGTCCAATGATATTTATCACCAGACCTTTTCAGATAAGCTATCAGAGATGGCTTGGAAAATAACACCACACTTGTAGAGCCATTTACCAAAAGTTTGGAAGTGATTTTAGATACGATTTTGTTTTTTGGGGCATTAGACATGAAATATATGTCATGTCTGGTCTCAAATTAATTATCTGAATTCACTGAGATGATATGGTTACAGAGCGATCTGAAATAACTGTATGTAAGCATATTAAATAGTGCATTTTCAGTCAACTTTTGGAATACATTAGTTACCTGTCATAATCTCATTTTCCTTGCCAAGAGCTCTTGGGACAGAAAGAATGGTACTTTATCTGCTTGTAGGTGTATTTACATGTTTAAACATATTTTGTAATTGAATGCACTATGGCTATGTTTATGTCTAATAAATGTTCCTTTATAAAATTTTGCTTTCTCTGGTATAAGAATCACATTACCAAAGGGACTAATATTGTAATACTGTGGTTTCATAGATTTTGTTAAATTGTGTTTGTGGGTTTTTAAACTACTTTGGTTGGGGTAAACTAAAATGCCTAATTTACAAATTTTCTTGACGATGGCATGTTTTATACTAGACGGCAGGTGTAGGTAGTGTTAAGAGGGATTTTCTTATTATTTTGGGTCTATTTAAGAGAAATGGTTATTTTTAACGCTTTCATCCACTGAAGCTAGTCACGTGCCAACTTGGGAGAGGTGGCGTTCATGACAGGGGGTTTTGGCATTGCTAAATCCAATACACACATACAGGCCCGGACTTGCCATTGGGCGCACCGGGCAAATGTCCGGTAGGCCACGATGTCCATGGGCCGGCAGGGGAAGTCACAGGACCTCCCTGCCCGGTCCATGCAGGGCCTGTGCTATTCGAGCGGCGGCCCTACTGTGTGCCTTCATGGGCCGGTGGGAAGATCAAAGATCTCCCTCACCGGCCCACTAGCACTAACACGCGGCTGCTGGCTGAGGAGGGCGGGAGAGAGGACCCAGAGGAGCTCTATCTTGCAGCTCCACCAGGTTCCTCTCGCGAGATTCCGGCGCGTCAACACTTCGGGTCTCGCGAGAGTGAACTCTAGCCCCACAGGCTAAAGTTCAGTCACCACTAGGACCACCAGAAATGGCAGCACGGTCCCCCCTTCAGGCTAAAGGTAAGAAAGGAGAGGGGATATAATGCACCCTCACACAGCACATTAACACACACAGCACCCTCACCCACTGCAAACCTCACAAACACATTGCACACCTCACACACACACACTGCACCCACACACACACATACTGCACCCACACACACACACTGCACCCCTCACAAATACACACTACACCCTTCACACCTCACACATACACACAGCAGCCCCCAAACACACTGCACCACACACACACAATACTTCCAAACATATATGTATATATACTATAGAACCCCTCACACACATACTGCACCCCTAAACACATTACATTCCAGACACAAACTAGATCCCTTACCCAACTCTGGATCATCTACACATATACACTCTGAATCCTCTACACACACACTAAATCTCCTACACACACTGTGGGTCCTTCAAACACACACTAGATGCCCTGCACACAAACACTGCACCACCTACACACACACACACACTACAGTTCTGACATACACTAGATTCCTTGTAAGCAAACACATACTACATTCCATACACACACTCTCTACAACCCCTACACACACTACATCCCCTATACACACACACACACACTTCAGCCCGTATGCACACACTCGCTACATCCCCTATACACACTATGCCCCCTATACACACACACTCTACAGCATCTAGACACGCATACATTACATTACACCACAAACACAACATGACTAAAACCAACCTATTAACACAAAACTACACCACAATCAGCTCACTCTACACACAATCCTATAAGCAAGCAGCAAACAGATGCACAGTACTCTTTCCTGGCATTTTTGTCTCCTGGTATCCCATTTATGGAGACACCAGACACAAATTTCAAGTAAACACAGCACAAGCATGTTATTATATTTGCTTGTGCTGTGCAGAACATATAGAGGGCTTTTTTATCATGCCAGAGCTCTTCAGCAGAGCTCTGTGCATGGTCTGCCCTAGAAGAGCTTTGAGGCAACATTCTCACATTGAGATGGGGCGTACTTGTCATTGGGGATGTGAAAACACACCCTATCTGGCCCCACCCTATCTGGCCCCGCCAATGTTTTTTCCCAGTCTGACCCTGCACACATATAGTGATGCTGTAGTCCACCCTAGGTTTAAAAGCATATGCATTACATACCATGAGAGAAAGAAGCCCATCTTTGTCTTTATCAAATTTATCAAAGAAATCTTTATAGTACTTCTGTCTTCGTTTACACACATGGCAGTATTGTCTGAGATATTCCTGGACAGTAATACCTAATTGGAACAATAGAACAATAGCATACGTTAAATAAATTATCTAAGTTTTAAATTGGTATGTAAGACTTTGTTGGTTATAACTTTTATAATAGTATACTGCCCGGAATACAATGATCCCCTCCAATTTAAATAGCCAAACTCGTTATAATTGTTTGACTGCTTACCTGAGATCCACCGCCGCTCCACACCACCTCTCTGCCAGAAGCCACTTCATGCCATGGTTTCGGGAAAGCTTAGCTCAGGAAAGCGATCAGAAGCTCATAAGCAGGCACAGACAGGAGGTGTGGAATGGCTCCCAGATAAGAAGTCAAACTGTTAGTACTAACATTGACAACTGACATGTAGTACACTGTAGTGGTTATGGTGCTTTGGGATTTCATTTAAAATAAATATTACAGTAATGCACAGCAATGATTTGACCTGGAAAGGATCTCCCTCTTTACAGTCTCAGTATTCACTAACTAATTTTTGTATACAAATTATAATATTGTGAACCACACATCCCACTGTTTATATTCTAATTGAATTTTGTACAACTCGTGGGATTCATGATTTTTTTTCACATAAAAATAATAATTCACTGACATAATTAATTATGGCTATACATAATAAAAAATATATATATTCTAAAGGTACACTGTGCATTCTGTTGTCGTAGAGGGTTATCCACTAAAGTGAGAATTGTCAGGAATTCAAAATTATTTCAAAATGATTTTCAAATTTAAAGCACCTTAAAGGTATACTCCACACCCATAAAACACTTCTGCTTGCTCTTATGGCTGAGTATTATCCCATAACAATCACAGTTTACAAAACTGTTGCTTTCTAGAAAGCTGCACATTTATAAATAGTAATGAAACACTAAATAATAATTAATAATTAATGTTTAATCAATTATGTGTATTATAATAAAATAATAATGATAATTAACAATATAATAATTAATGTTTGATTGACAGCCAGGGGGTTTCTTCCTGTTTCCGTTAGCTCCGCTGAGCCAATAGACATGGCTGACACACTCAAGTAGAGCACGCCCCCTGCATAACTCCAGCACGCTGCTCATGAGCTCGCACATGCACGGAGGGAGACCTTCAAAGGCTTGTCATTGCAGGCACGCATGTATACATGTGTATATGTACTAAACAAGGATTTATATTTAATTTTTTTTCTAATTTGGACACTTCAGTGATTTGAACATGTCATGGTGCCTGGAGACGTCTGTATGTGCAGCATTTACCTATAAAATGCTGTACATATGAAGTTTAACCCCTTAGCTGCAAGGCAGGTAACCCAAACCGCAGGAAGCATTATTGGTGTGTCATCAGCCAGCTGCGCAAATTGCAATGCACAGAATGTCAGTGGTTATGGCGATTTGGGTTTTCAGCTGTGACTCTCAACCAACGAATGGCAACAGCAGTGGCTTCTGCAGTTCTGCTTGTTAAAATAAATAAATAAAAGGGAGACTTGCTCTGTCTACATGCATTTTCTGTCAGAAGTGAGAGAAGACAACTTTCTTGGCTGTGCAAATAATAGAGGAAGTTGGAATTTGTGGGTGCTAACATGTGTATTGGGATCTGTGGATGGAAAAATATAAAAGGAGGTTTCAGCATATAAAGAAGGTTATAATTTTACAAAATTATAAATAGGGTGACACAATGAAAATGAGAAAGGAAGCTATGAATACTGAGGCTATTGGTACCACATAACATTACGGAGGCTTGTGGATTTATCTCTACTGTACCACTATGTTTCATACTGCTTGGTCAATGTTCTTTTCATGATATTCTCCATTTTGATAGAGAAAATAAACCTTGGCCACCTTAAGCAAGATATGGTAGGTGCATTACCATGGCTTGCTGTAATACACCTTTATTTCCAGTCCCTAAGCAAAGCTGGGAACATATCTTTACGATCTAGCATGTTGCGATTTCCACTAGTATTAGTTTGAGAATCAAACAATGAGAATATTTGTTTTTATATAATCTTGTGTTTTGTATTGTTAAATGGTTAATATCTTCAATGTGCATATTTTGTCCTGTTAATTCTAACCATTAAAACTATATGTTATAAACACATTCCACATATTCTAAACAACCTCTCATGCATGTTATGGATTTGTCCTGTATTTGCTAATCTATGCAGTACATTGCTAACATTCTTTGCATTAATTCTATTGAATTAGACTGTGGACATTTTAGACCTTAATGAGGTAGACCCTAATTTGATTATTTCCCCTGGGGCCCAACGGTTCCTTGTTACACCGCTGAAACTAAAATATAATTTAAAGGGACACTATAGTCACCAGAACAACTACAGCTTATTGAATTTGTTCTGGTGAGAATCATTACCTTCAGGCTTTTTGCTGTAAACACTGTCTTTTCAGAGAAAATGCAGTGTTTACATTAGAGTCTAGTGAGAACTTCACTGGCCACTCCTCAGATGTCTGTTAGAGATCCTTCCTGGGTCATGGCTGCATCTAAAATGCATCCAAACATTCAGTGTCTGCACTCTCTGCACGCAGACACTGAACTTTCCTCATAGAGATTAATTGATTCAATTCATCTCTATGAGGAGATGCTGATTGAATTGTGCTGGCTCTGCCCCTGATCTGCCTCTTTGTCAATCTCAGCCAATCCTATGGGGAAGCATTGTGATGTCAGCAGGCAGTGAGCAGGTCTAAAGGAAACAGGCACAAAGCATGAAGCTGCAGACTTGAATACAAATAAGATTTACTATATTTAGGGAGGCATGAGGGGACCAGGGTGGCGGTTTTAACATGTTTGTTGTGTTCTTGACCCTATAGTGCTCCTTTAACAATGTATTGCATTTACAGTCTAAGTTCTAAACACTTTTATTGTAGTTTAAACACACATTACTATCAATATTATTGCTGTTGAGCTGTCATGATCTTCATCAAGCCTGCCGCTATGCCACACGTGGACTGCCCCTCTGTACTAAATCCCAGTCCTCCCTCTCTGTACTAAATCCCAGCTCCCCCCCCCATCTGTACTAAATCCCAGTCCCCCCCTGTACTAAATCCAGTTCCCCATTACTAAATCCTGCCTAAATCCCAGCCCCCTTGTACTAAATCACAGCCCCTTTGCATAAATCCACAGTCCCCCCTCTGTACTAAATCACGGTCGCCAGTCCCTCTGTTTCTAATTCACAGTCCCCCCTCTGTATTAAATCACAGTTGTCCCCCATACTAAATCAGTCCCCCCTGTACTAAATCACGGTCATCGCCTCTGTACTAAATCACAGTCCCCCCTGTACTAAATCACAGTCGTCTTCCCCCCTCTGTATTAAATCAGTCCCCCTCCCCGTACTAAATCACAGTCCCACCCCTCTCTGTACTAAATCACAGTCGTCGTCATCCCTCCTCTGTACTAAACCACAGTCCTCCCCTGTACTAAATCACAGTCGTCGTCCCCCCGTACTAAATCACAGTCGTCTTCCCCCCTCTGTATTAAATCAGTCGTCCACCACATACTAAATCACTGTCCCCCCCGCCCCCCGTGGCGAAAGCGGCATCGCCACTGGTTTTTGGATCGGACTGATTGCCAGCCTTGTGCCTTGGGACTATGGCCCCTGCGAGATTGGGCACTTTAAAAACAGTCTTGGGGCTTATGGACTTCTATTGGACTGCGTATGGCCCTTGCTAAACTTAAGCCCCATGGCGATTTTGTTCTGTTCGTGCGATCTGAGCGCTGTTCAGATATATTAAGTGCTCAGATCCAAGCTATCTGGGGATAGGTTGAATGTGGGGGCTCTGTTCAGTATGATAGGAATTATGTATTTTTATGTGTTTTTACTGTTGTAAATGGAGATATTTTCTGTTGGAGATAATTGCTTACCACACCCAAGCCGTGCTTGCAGTTGGTCAAAAAGGGACTTCCAACTACCTTTTGAACCACTGGACCAATTTGTATGATTTTGACATATGTTTGTATTTGGAGTATGCTGATTCTGAAAATGTAAGTTTATGTGAATGTGGTGTATACTTTTAAAGTTATAAATATTGTGTAAAACTGTATTTTCCTGCCTGTGATAATTACGTTAGCCCATTGTGTTCAGTTATTGTATCACAGGCAGTTGGTATGAATGGGAGTGTTTAGCTGTGTTGTAATGTATTGATTGGTTTGTTCTTCAAAACCCTGTGGGTGGTACTATGTTTGTAACATGGGCATAAAAGCAGAGTGTTTGATTAAAAGCTTCAGTTCTACTTCACCCTCAATTTGGAGTCCTGTCTCTTATTGGGGGAATCTGCTACAAGGGATTGCAATGCTCAGCATATTCCCTTGCTATAATCATTCCTAAGCTCTTTTAAGAGCTTGTTCCTGCTTCGCTCTGAAGGAAGAGAGGTTCGGCCTGCGGTGGTTGTGGTGTCGGCTAGAGTGCTTGGAGGCCTCAAGAAGCGCTAGGAGCATCCTTCAATGGAGGTACCTAGTCGTCCCCACTCTGTACAATCATCCACCCTCTGTACTAAATCACAGTCGTCGTCCCCCTCTGTACTAAATCACAGTCGTCGTCCCCCCTGTACTAAATCACAGTCGTTGTCCCCCCTGTACTAAATCACAGTCGTCGTCCCCCCTCTGTACTGAATCACAGTTGTTAACCCCTCTTTACTAAATCACAGTTGTCCCCCACCGTACTAAATCACAGTCCCCCCCCTGTACTAAATCACAGTCGTCACCCCCCTGTACTAAATCACAGTCGTTGTCCCCCCCTCTGTACTAAATCAATCATCCTCCCATTACAAATTACAGTCGTCCCCCTCTGTGCTAAATCACAGTCGTCCCCCTCTGTACTAAATCACAGTCGTCGCCTCCCTATACTAAATTACACTTGCCCTCCCCTGTACTAAATCAGTCCCCCAATCACAGTACTAAATCACCCCCCTCTGTGCTAAATCACAGTCGTCGTCCCCTCTCCCCTCTGTACTAAATCACAGTCATCGTCCCCCCTCTGTACTAAATCACAGTCATCGTCCCCCCTCTGTACTAAATCACAGTCATCGTCCCCCCCTGTAATAAATCACAGTCGTCGTCCAGATGGCCGCCATGTGCTCAAGAGGCAGAGGAGCATCCTGCCCTCTCCCCACGCCAACAGCTCTCAGCACAGCTCCCAGGCTCAAGCCCGATGGACCCGCAGCCTTACGACCTCATGAGGCAGAGGAGCAGAGCGACCCTCACCGGTCCCTGCAGCTGACCAAACCAGGGGTGAGTTGTGCCCCATCCACACTACCGACAGTTGATACACCGAGGGGACGGAGCACAACACGGAGACCATCCCCTCCAGAAACAACCAAGAGGGGTAACCCTGCAGCGAAGCCGACCTTACACTTGCCTCAAACCCGGCTAATACCGCGGAGACCAAGACAAACCCAGCGTGGAGAGAGGCAGCAAGTCTTCCCAGACACCACCCCGCACCACACCTCGGAGGACACCAGTCTCCTGAAACATGAACAAGGCAGACCCAATTTACCTCAGAGGCAACTTGAAGCTGACATGCATGGAACCCAGCTTTCTGACTTAATGGACACTAACGCCCTGCCTCACCAACGTGGCAGAGCGGGCATCGGCTAAGCAACAGACTGCTCCCTTACGTGCAACCCCAAGTCCACCATGCTGTCGACCCTTACCTGATGTGGAGCCGCCAGAAGCCTAGATTAAACAGGGTGATATCCTCAGAGATGCAACATACCTAACTTCAACATGTACCTTACCATATAATATACTTTTATGCTCAGCAATACTAACCAGTGCTATAAATTAAAAACGTACATATTAATAGCCTTAAGAATTCCTAGCACTATTATCAATGTGTACATAATAGATATGTTACCATAGACATATCAATGCAAGTTCCAGCATTAAATTTATATCCTGTTGGTTAAACAGTTTAAAGAACGATCTAAGTGACTAAGCCAGCTAAAACTATAAAATTGTGCCTGTTACTCGTGTACCCCGCATGTAAAGCGAGGAAATAGCCTGAGGACTGCTCTTGGGGCACCTTATGCATGCCTGTACTATTTTCATGCACTGCAAAAATAAAAAAATTGAAAATAAAATAATAAAAAAATACCATAATAAAGCTTTAAAATTAACTTACTTTCCAGCAATTTCATATCCATTGGAATTTCAAAGCGACTGATACGATTAGAAAGCCCCATCCTAACAGCAACCTTGTGGTTCTTCTGTCTCTGTATTAACATTGGTTAGTGAATGTTAGCACACACTCTTATGGTGTTATCACTTATCCTAGTTATATCATACACAATACAACAGTACATCATGTTATTCCACTAATGATAATTACAAACAATGGCCTTTCTTTTGACATAGAATGTATGGTGTGCATAGACCAACTCACACAGCACAAATAATATATAGATTTGAAAGAGTCTTTGAAAGACTGCGCTAGTCACAATTTGGGACATCATATATCCCTACAACCTCCATCAATATGACCTGTGGAGCACGAGAGAGCATTCACAGAAATAACTGTGTGTTTCCCATGACTCCAATGACACTAATGCCTCATCCTGTAGCCACTTGAAAACATCATACATACTTTAAATAGTCTGACTGCCTGGTGATATAAATACATACTTCTGATCCTGAAGAAAGTTCCAAAGAGGACTGAAACGTTGATCGTTGGATTGTATGTATTTTGAATAAAGAGACTACATTTACCAAAGACCGTGAGTGCAGAAAAAAATTTCAGTTTTGTTTTTATTATATCATATATATATATATATATATATATATATATACATACACACACACACACACACACGCACACTGATCAGCCACAACATTAAAACCACATGTCTAATATTGTGTAGGTTCCCATCATGCTGCCAAAACAGCTCTCATGCATCGAGGCATGGACTCCACATGACCTGAACATGTCCCTATGTTATCTGACACCAAGACATGAGCAATAGTTAATTTAAGTCCTGTAAGTTGTGGGGTGGGGTCTCCATGGATCGAATTTGTTGTTCCAGCACATCACATAGATGCTCAATCAGATTGTGATCTGGGGAATTTTGAGGCCAAAGCAACACCTTGAACTCTTTGTCATGTTCTTTGAACCTGAACATTTTTTTCAGTGTGGCAGGATGCACAGTCCTGCTGAAAGAGGCCACTGCCATCATGGAACTCCATTTCCATAAAGTGGTATATTATTTATTTATAAAATATTTTACCACGAAAGATACATTGAGATTTCTCTCGTTTTCAAGTATGTCCTGGGTCCACAAATCATTGCATTGTTACATTAGGTACAACAAAATACAAAAACAATATTAATACACAATATATACAAAATTTAACATAGAACAGGCAGGAAATAAATAATCAACCATGACAGGTGCATTCTGTATTGAGGTATGTAGAGAGGGATCTCTTAAATGACTTTAGGCTTAGGGAAGATTTTAAATTGTGCGGGAGGTCGTTCCACAATTGCGGTGCTCTGTAGGAGAAGGAGGATCGGGTCGCTTTCTTTTTGTATTGAGGAAGACTAAGTAAAGTTCTTGTACTGGATCGGAGCTTATAGAAAGTGGGAACAGCTGGGGAAAGCATTTTGTTCAGGTAGGGTGGGAGTTTCCCATAAAAGCTCTTAAACACAAGGCTGGAAAGATGAAGGGTGCGTCTGGATTCCAGCGATAGCCAGTTTAGTTCCTTTAGCATGTCACAATGATGGGTCCTGTAATTACATTGTAGCACAAATCGGCAGAACGAGTTATACAATGTGTTGAGTTTATTAATGTGGGATTGCGATGCAGACGCATATACTACATCCCCATAATCAATGATTGGCATCAGCATTTGCTGTACAATCTTTTCCTTTACTGTAGGGCTTAGGCAGGCTTTGTTTCTGTACAGGGCACCTAATTTTGGATAAAGTTTAGATGCAAGCTTTTCTATGTGCAGGCCAAAAGATAGATTGGGGTCTAATATCATACCCAAGTATTTGAAAGAGTGGACTGCGGTCAGTGTGCCATTTGAATTTGTTTTGATGGATAGGTGGGAATTGTGTAACTTGTGTAATTTAGGTACTGTTCCAAAGATCATTGTGACAGTTTTGTCAGTGTTCAGGAAGAGTTTGTTTTTTGCGATCCACTTTTCTACCTCTGCAAACTGGTCTTGGAGCAAAGCCTCAAGTTGCGGTAGATTGGATTTGCTCGCATAGATTACCGTGTCATCTGCGTACATGTGTACATTTGAGGATTGGCAGACATTAGGCAGATCATTTATAAATAATGTAAATAGTAGGGGGCCGAGAATGGAACCCTGGGGAACACCACACGTGACTGGGAGAGGGAGGGAGTCACTGTCAGAAATGGACACATATTGCGAGCGATCCGATACATACGATCGAAACCAGTTTAGAGAACAATCACCAATACCTGAGTTTTCGAGTTTGTGGAGTAGAATGTCGTGGTCTACTGTGTCAAAGGCCTTAGCAAAATCAAGGAAAATAGCTCCAGTTAGGGCTCCTTGTTCCATGCCAGTTTGGATGTCATTGCAAACTTTTAGGAGGGCAGTTGTAGTGGAGTGATTCTGGCAAAAGCCTGATTGATCAGGGGTCAGATAGTTTAATTGTTGGTAGTACTCACAAAGTTGTGTATGGACACATTTTTCTAAGATTTTTGACAATACAGGGAGCAATGATATTGGGTGATAGTTAGAAACCAAAGTAGTGTCACCACTTTTATGGATAGGCACTACTCTCGCAGTCTTCCAAAGTTTGGGTATGTATCCAGACACCAAGGATTCGTTAATTAGAGTTGAGATGGGTTTAGCAATTGCCGGTGCACTGAGCTTCAACAGCATTGCTGGGATTTGATCAGGTCCGGACTGGTTTTTCATTTTTAGATTATTAAGATTTTTTTAATGACACTAACAGGTACAGGTCTAAAATTAAACTTATCTATATTGGGCCTTTGCAAATTTAGTGGGACGTGATCCACATTTGTAGTTTCAGGATGCGTGTCATTTTTTAGCTGGGCAATCAGGCCAGTAGAGCATCCGACAAAATAATTGTTAAAGGCATTTGCTACATCTAAGGGAAGTTGCAGGGTTTGGTTACCCACTTTGACAGTGGAGGGTTGGGAGTGAATTGGGGGAGTTTGTAGTTTATTTATGACTTTCCAAAAGTTTCTAGGGTTTGAGATGTTACTGTTCAGATTTTCATAGAAATATTGGGCCTTGGCCAGTTTTGTCTGTTTTGTGCATATATTTCATTGTCTATATGCACCGTGATCATTCATAGAGCCAGTACGCTTAAACTTTGACCACAAAGAATCCCGAAACTGGTACATTTGGATGAGGTCAGCTGTTATCCAGTTCATATGTGCTCCTTTTACCCTCACCTTACGCAGCGGGGCATGCAAATTCCAAATTTGTAGGAGTTCAGACTGAAAGTATTCAACAGCACAGTCTAGATCTGGGATAATGTTTAATCTGTGCCATGAGAGATTTTTGATGTCATTTAAAAAGGATTCAAGATTAAATTTTTTGAAGGACCTAGTTATTTTAACCTTGGGAGAGGATTTAATAGCCTTTATTTTGCGCACGCAGTACACTAAACAGTGATCACTGAACGTGTTTGGGAGAACACCAACCTCCTGGATTCTATCAGGAGAAGTGGAGAGAATCCAATCTAGCAGGGTATGGCTATGACTTTTAATGTTTATACGAGTTGGGGAGGAGATTAATTGCGTTAGCTGCAAAGTCTTAAACAGCGTGCAAGAACTATTATTTTTAGGGTTCAGCCAATCAATATTAAAATCTCCAAAGACCAACAGTTCACTTTTTGGGTTTTGAGCTATGGTTTCACTAAGGAGATGGGCTATGTCAGAAAGGGAATGTACAGGGGAGCTAGGTGGGCGGTAGATTCCTGCAACAATGATTGATTTACTGCACGGGATCTCAATTGTGCCAGAAAGGAAATCAAAGATGGCAGGAGGACTAAGGTTTTGTAAAGGGGTAAACTTTATGGAATTGTCAACATAAATAACAATGCCTCCTCCTCTCTTTGCTCTGTCATTTCTAAAACATGAATAACCCTGTATTGCAATGGCGGTGTCTGGTATTTTAGCCGTTAACCATGATTCTGAGAGCACAATGATTTTTGGTTTGTAATGGGAACACCAGGCTTGCAGTGCATCCAGTTTAGGGAGTAAACTACGGATGTTGCAGTGCACATTTTTTAGTGGGGAGATTAGGACTAGAATTAGCTGGGGGACCAGGGTTAGACTCCACATCATTTGCAAGGGCAAGTAACATAAGGAGTAGGAATTTGGACATCATCTTTGTTTGGCCATATAGTGAATGGGATAATTTATAGTTTTGTGAGTTTGGGGTAGGAGGGCTATTTTTTATAACTCTCCACCAGCACTCAGCAGATAAGTTAAAGGAACAGAGCAGGCCATGGTGTATTATAATTTGTGTTCCAGTTTGAGGTGTGTGCTTATGGTGGTAGTGGTGTGAACAAAATTGGATTGAGAAAAGGGTTATTAAGAATAACAGTATGGTTATATTAGGATTCATGTTAGTGGTATGAGGTGTGTAGTTGAAAATGAAACAGAAATTGTGAGAATTTTTTATTTTATTTTTTTAAATAGAAGTATATGGTTTTGGTGTGTGATATATCTATTTGTAGTGAGAGAGGGTATGTGTTCTATAGGGTTAAGAGATTGAAAGGGTGTGCTGATCAGTGGTTGCACCAGTCATTTCATTAGATTGAAAGTTGTGTGGGAGACTATCTATAAATGAGAAAATGACCATGGGTAGGGTGGGAGGGAAAAGTCAGTCTTCCAGAAGGCTACCTGTTTCAAATGGCCATGGAACAGCTGATGGAGCTCTGAGTTCTATGCTGGACTGGGTATGTTTAAAAATCAGACTGTGGGAGAGAGATGTATATTAGGGTCAGATGGGCTAAGAGATGGGGGGGTGCATAGATGGACATTTGATTTAAGGTCATTTAAGGAAAAACAAAAGCAAAGATTGAGAATTACAGAGATAAGACAGAGGTATTTAAGTAGGGAAATAAAACCATTAAACAAGGAACAGGAAAGATATATGGGCCTGAGCTGGTTAAACTAACTTTTAACATGATGGACAAAGACAAAGGTGATAAAATACTTTGCATGATTAGCACAGGCTATAGTTACAAAGACATGAAAATGTATACATTGAAAAGAATAAAACTGAATAATATTTACTAAATATAAAAACATACAACAAAATTAACAGGGTACGTAGAAATATAATGAAATGTCAGTCTTCCAGAAGGCTACCTGTTTCAAATGGCCATGTAACAGCTCTCTAGGTAGGTGGTACGTGTCAAAGTAACATCCACGTGAATGCCCAGACTCAAGGTTTCCCAGCAGAACATTGCCCAAAACATACTACCTCTGCCGACCTGCCTTCTTCCCTTAATGCATCCTGTTGCCATCTGTTCCCCAGGTAAACAATGCACACAGCCATCTACCTGATCTAAAAGAAAACATGATTCATCAGACCAGGCAACCTTCTTCAACTGCTCCATGATCCAGGTTTAATGCTCAAGTCCACATTGAAGGCAGTTTTGGCGGCTGACAAGGGTCATCATGGGCACCATGACCAGTCTGCAGATAAATAGCCCCATCGCAGCAAACTGTGATGCATTGTGTGCTCCCCACATGCATCAGTGACCCTTGGGCACCCATAATGCTAGTCCACTGGTTGTCCTTCCTTGCAACACTTTTGCAGGTACTAATCACTGCACGCCAGGAACAACCCACAAGATTTGCCGTTTTGAAGATGCTCTGACCCAATCGCCTAGCCATTACTATTTGGCCCGTATCAAAGTCACTTGGATCTTTTTGCTTGTCCATTTTTCCTGCTTCCAACATATCACTTGCTGCCTAATATATCCCACCCCTTGCCAGGTACCATTGTAACAATATAATGAGTGTTATTCACATCACGTGTCAGTGGTTTTAATGTTGTGGCTGATAAATACACTATTATATACTAAAAATATAAATATATGTAACGGATCACCTGGCCCCCCGACTGGGTACCTCCGTTGACGGATGCTCCTAGCGCTTCATGAGGACTCCAAGGACTCCAGCCGACACCATAACCACCGTAGACCCCTCCAGAGAGCAAGACAGGAACAAGCTCTTACAAGAGCTTAGCAGTGATTTAGCAAGGGAGTATGACAAGCATAGCAATCCCTTGTAGCAGATTCCCCCAATAAGAGACGGCACTCCAAATTGAGGGTGAAGTAGAACTGCCAGAGCTGTGGGTTTATTGTTCATATTTACACATTCTTACACATTAGTACCACCCACAGGGTTTTGTAAAACAACCAATAAACACGTACAATACACTCAGATACTCCCACACAAAATCCTCCCCTCTGCCTGTGACACAATTACCTTACACAATAGGTTAATGTAATTATCACAGGCAGGAAAATACACAGTTTTACACAATATTCATAACTTTAAAAGTATGCATCACATTCACATAAAACTTACATTACAAACATACGTCAAAATCATACAAATTGGTCCAGTGGGACAAAAGTTAGATCGAAGTCCTTTGTGACCAAATGAAGCATGGCTTTTCTACCCAAAACCGGTTCCACAGAGTCTTCTATCCTGGAGATAATTGGGAAGTAATCCAATTATCTCCAAGGACAGAGGGAAACCTCAATTAGCCACATGGTAGCAAAAGACAATAAAATACATAAATATATATAACTGTGCAGCTATTGCATAAAACAGGTACATTCAACGTATCCCCAGATAGCTTAGATCTGAGCGCACATTATTACTGAATGGTGCTCAGATCACATACATACAGTTCAATTGCCATGGAGCCAAAGTCTTTCGTTATACAAATGGGCTCCATGGCATAGCTATCTGGGGTATCACTGTTCAAATAGGGAAAGTACCGAATGACCCAGCTTTCGGGTCTTTGCAGGGGAAAATCAAGCATTCCAACATGGGGCCATAGTCACAGGGCAGAAGGCTGGCAATCAGTCTTCTCCAATGCCCAGTGGCGAGGTTGGTTCCGCCACAAATAGTATAATACATACATATATATATATATATATATATATATTTCCTGGCCATATCCATGGCAGCACAACAATGGGTTAGCTCCTCCCTATCCCTAATTAGACAGGAACAGAATTAAAATCAGGGGTATAAATACCCCCTCCCACCAATGGTCCCTTAGTCTTTTTTTTCCTGTCCTATCCCTATAGGACTCCAGTCATTGTAGACTGTGAACATACTTTTTTCTCTTTGGCTTACCTGAGGGTTTTTACCTTCGGCCTCAAGGGAGTTCAGCCTCTCTTCCTTGGGAAGTCTCCAGTACGTGGCCCTGCGCAAAGGATATCCCCCTGGAGATGCTCCTTTAGTGACCGGGAGCCACTTGCAGTGACCCTAGGGGTAGCAAGCAAAATATTGCCAGTAAGGAACATTCCCTGCAGTAACCAAGCGGTAGCAGGAAGTGGCAGAAGAACCTCATCTACAGAAGATTCTTCCTACCTCTACCTGGCAGGCACAGTAAGTTTTAATGCATTTATTGTGTATTATTTTACTTATGGCTGTCAGGTTTTCCCCCTTCCACCTCTTTTCTATGTGCCACAGGATTTTGTATTTTTTTTTTCCCTTCCGCCATCTTGTCGGCGTCCTCCTGGTGCTCTGCGCGGACTGTGGGCGCGTCATTCCCGGTCCCCGCACATGCGCGGTCCAGCGGCCGCGCCATAGCTTCTTCCGCGCATGCGCGGACCGGTAGATACGTCTGGGACGCCTCCGCGCATGCGCAGATTAGGGGCCACGTCATGCGCACTTCCGCACATGCGCGGAGTATTTGTGCACATGCGCGGAGTGTTCTTCCGGGTTCGCGGTGACGTCATCGGTGACGTCACTCGCCACCTTTAAAGAGGCGCCAAATTTGAATTTTCTTACCTGTTTCAGGTTGCCTGGACTCTGGGGAGCTCTTGCAGCATCTTTTGTTCCAGTTTTGTTCGATTTTTCAAACCTCCAGTTTCTGTTACTCAGGTATGGGTTTATTTCTTAAAGGCACATTCCCCTTTTTTCACAGATTGAGTTTTTATGCTTTTTTGAGTATAAATATTTCAATTCCTTCCTATACTATGACAGGGAAGATGGACAAATCTTTCTCATCAGACTCTGAGGCTTCCATTCATAAACAAAGGTCACAATCCAAAGGTTATAGGTAAGCCATTATTTTTTCCCCTCTCTATCTAGACCAAACAAAAGAGTGCTTGGGTTAATTATATTTCCCTATTATGTCAGCTCTACGGGAATTAAAGCATCCAGAACTTCCAAAGGCAAGTCGCCTATGAAGAAGAGATGCGAAGCCTGCAGCAATAAACCTCTGGAAGGCAAACGTCTCTGCGCAGAATGCCTCTCTACAGCCGCAGACACTTCCACTACTGCCCCTACTCCAGATATGATGGAGTTTATTAAACAGGCGGTCTCCCAGGGCATCAGAGAAGCTGGGAAGTCCCACAAGAGACCAAGATTCACTGAACCCTTGGGGTTTTCTCAGGAAGAATCCTCAGATGAGTCCGTAGACTCCTACAGGGACGGGCTATCCTCCTCTGAAGAAGAATCTTATGCCCCAGAATTCATGGAGCCTGCTCAAGTTGATCATTTTATATCCAGAGTGCGCAAATCCTTGAGTCTCAAGGAAACTTCCTCGGAGCAACCTTCTACTTCCAGTAGATATTTTGCTGATCTGAAGAAAAAGAGAGCCACGTTTCCAGCTCATGAGACAATCAAGGAACTGATTGAAGACGAGTGGTCAAATACTCGTAAGAAACTGACCTCTCAAGGCAGAGTTGCTCGTCTTTATCCATTTGAGAGAAAAGACTCCAGCTGTTGGGATTCGGCTCCTAAGGTAGATGCGGCCATAGTAAGACTGGCCAAACACACTACTCTACCGGTTGACGACGCAGGTTCATTCAGAGATCCCATGGATAGAAAAATGGATCTGAACCTCACCAAAGCTTACGTGGCTGCAGGCACAGGCCTCCATCCAGCAGTCGCTCTCACCTCAGTCTCCAGAGCTTTAAAAATCTGGATGGAATGTCTATATTTTGTGATATCGGGTAGTCCCAGGCCTCCCTGTAGTTTGGGTCTGGTGAGGGTGGCGAAATTCAGCCTCTGCGTTTTGCGGGCCCAGACGTAGGCCATCAGTGTTTTACGGGTTTGTGTTAGGAAGGTTTTGGGAATGTGGATTGGTAGGGTTTGTAGGAGATACAAGATTCGGGGGAGGATATTCATTTTGAGGACACTGATCCTACCCAGCCACGTTATGTGCGGGAGTTGCCACGAGTCGAGGTCCTTCTGTATGCGGTCGAGGAGGGGTGGGAAGTTGATGCGGTAGGTGTCCGACACATCAGCCGACAGCCAGATCCCTAAGTATTTAATCCTTTCTTTGCACCAGTGAAAAGGGAACTCTGTTTGCAGTGTAGTTGTCAGTGCTAGGGGGCAGTTTACGTTGAGAATTTCAGATTTCGTAAAGTTAATTTTTAAGTTGGAGAGGGTGCCGTATAGGTCAAATTGGTGCGTGAGCTCCCTAAGTGAGGTTGCCGGGTTGGTGATTGTGAAGAGGAGGTCGTCCGCGTATGCAGAGACCTTGGTGGCTCCCGAGCTACCCTCGATTCCAGTTATGCGGGGTTGGGCTCGAACTGCATTGAGGAATGGTTCTAAGCTGATGGCAAAGAGTAGGGGCGATAGGGGACACCCTTGTCTAGTGCCGTTTCTGATCTCAAATGGGTCGGAGAGAATCCCATTAACCTGCACCCGGGCTGCTGGAGCAGTGTATAGGGCCCAAATGCGCGTCATCATGTGGGGTCCCAGTCCCAGGTGTTCCAGGGTGGACCTCAGGAAAGACCAGTCGACCCTGTCGAACGCCTTCTCCGCGTCGGTCGAGACTATCAGGGCGGGGGAGTGTCCTTCTCGGGCCGCGTGGAGAAGATTGAGTGTCTTGATAGTGTTGTCCCTGGCCTCCCGGACCTCCACAAAGCCCACCTGATCAGGGTGGATAAGGCTCGGCATCAGGGGCTGGAGGCGCAGGGACAGTATTTCGGCAAACAGTTTGAGGTCGGCGTTCAACAGGGAGATCGGCCTGTAACTGGTACATGAGGAGGGGTCTTTTCCTTCTTTCGGGAGTACCACGACGTGTGCTAGGAGCATGTTGGGGTCTAAGGGGTCTCCGTTATGTATTGAGTTGAATAGTGTAAGTAGGTGTGGGACAAGGTTGTCTGCGAACATTTTGTAGTACTTTGCCGTGTATCCATCTGGTCCGGGGCTTTTCCCCAGTTTGGCCAGTTTGATGGCTAGGCGTATCTCCGCTTCAGTGATATCTTCTTCTAGTGTAGCTATATCTTGGGGTGTCAGCGTTGTAGTGATATTCTGTTCGATATATGTTTTTTGCTGTGCTGTGTGAGCCTCTTCTCCTTCGTGTGTGCGTGTGGTGTTGGGAGGTAGGCAGTATAGGGAGGAGTAGTATTGTCTGAAGCCCTCTGCTATAGCCTTCGGAGTCCGCAGTGTGTTTCCTGCCAGGGAGATCTTTTGAACATGGGTTTTCTGTCTCCGGGCTCTCAGCGCCCTAGTGAGCAGTTTACCACTTTTGTTTCCGTATTCATAGAACGTTTTTTGTGTGAGTTGGAACTGGAATCGTATTTTGGACGTGAGGCAGGAGTTGAGTTTCGCTCTGGTCTCTAGGAGTTGCTATACACCTCCAGCGAGTGATAGAATGGACACAAGACCCGAAAGACAAGCTATGGATCCCCATAGAGGCCAGCTTCTCACGGATACCCCTGACACTTCTACCCTGGCTGCCGAAATCCATGGCCGGGGAACTGCCACGGAACCACCCAACCCTAAACGCTACAATGGCAGTTTGGAGGAGACTGGCGACTCACACAGACGTAGCCCCAGAGCTCTCACCATTATGCCCCATATCTCACAACCCGAAATTTGCCCCTGCATCGGACCCCCACTACACGGCTGCCCTGGGCCTGCCGACCCCCTGCAGAGTGAAGGACGTCTATGACCAAGGCACAATCACGCCCCTGACCACCCTGGTCCCGAATACCCCACACAATATGCTCCTACGCTTTAGATATCACCAACTGACGAGGTTTCTGAGAAGCATACCGACCCTAAATTCGGCAACGCGAACACTCTCCGTATTCGAGACCATATGCATGAACCCCCCCCCACACGCAATATCGCTACTATATCGCATGCAAACCACCACCACCACTAACGCACCCCTCCCTTACTTCACAAAATACTGGGAAAGGGATCTAGGACACTCAATTTCAACGGAACAATGGACAACGGTGTTTACACTCACACATAAAGCCTCCATCTCCACCAAATTCCAAGAAACAGGATATAAAATGCTCTCCCACTGGTACAGGACACAGGAAAAACTTAGCATGATGAAAACCACAAATGACCCGGAATGCTGGAGATGCGGGAGAGAACTGGGATCCCTCTTCCACATATGGTGGTCCTGCCCCCTTATCCAGCCCTTTTGGGCAGAGATCCACAAGATACTCACAACCATAACAGAAGCAAACCTACCCCTCTCACCAGACACATACCTGCTCCAACTTACACAGACCCCCATCAACAGATTTAAAAAAACAGCACTCCCACACCTAATAAACGCAGCCCGCAGCCTCATCCCGAGACACTGGAAACAACACATGGCCCCGACTATCAGAGAATGGATAACGAGAGTGGAAGACATCAGACGCATCGAGGAACTCATCCACTCCGCAACGGGACGCATACAGCGTTACCATGATGCATGGTACCACTGGCTCCAATGGCTCGCCTCCACCGCACCAATTACGGGGACCACACAACACCTGACAGCAGAGGCAGATGGGACGGTCCTGACGGAACCGACGGACGACAATACGGAAGCTGAACCACCGACCCAACCAAACCAAGACGACCACTCAGAGCCGGAGATGCCCCTTGCCCCGGAGGCGGGGGGGGTTGAGGTGGGGACCCGGGACCTGACACCCCACCCCCTACCCTCCCGCACCTTACCCTCACCCGCAATGCCCTCACCCCATTAACCTACATTCCCATCCCACCCGCCCCCCACAACACACGTTAAAATACATGACCAACTGCCGACAAGCTGCCTTGAGAATGCCACCTACACTCGCAGAAACGCCACCTCCCTTACAGGACAGACTATACACCACAGCACCCACAAAGACCCACCATGACCAACACATATCGGACAAGGGATGAACCAACCCAACAAGACTGTCCAAACGCCCAATACCCAAGTGCACTACACCACGATACCAGAACCCACCTAACCCTCACAACCCGGGACAGCACCCGCTCGACCAATACACCCCCGACACTAATAGGATCCCCAAACAGACACAGAAGGACACCAAACACAGAAGGGACACCCCAACAAGACTACACCCCGACGCATGACACACGCACAACCACTGCCCACACACATCAAAGAACAGCGACTAGCGCAAAGGGGATACCCACAACAAACGCGCACACAGGACAAAAACTACCTGACGGACCCTCGACCCCCAAACGCCCCACTACTCGACAACCACTCCCTACCCCCCACCCCAATGGATCAGTAGAGACGCTCTCAGGAAGCAGGGCTAGACAAGGTCACAGCAGGAGCACTAAAGTTTCTGCCTTATCGCAGTTTATCTGCTTCCCAACACAAACATACCAATTAATAAAATGACTGAATCTGAGTGTTCTCTATAGCTTTCATGTCTAAAACTTGTGAGAATGGCGAAAATATTCTCTTTCTATTTTTCTAAGACTAGTTCCTTCTTGAAAACTGTCAATGCTGAAAGATGTTGCAATGTAGGAATGGAATCAGATGCTCGCTATTACTTTGTAAAATTGCTCTCTTCACATAAATACTAACGATACCTTTATACCAAATGAACAATAACTGACATGTACACTATTTTTGCCACCTTCTGTATTGATGCATATAACTTTGTATTGCCAATCGTTATGATGTCAATAAAAGCAAATTGAATCAAAAAAAAAAATCTGGATGGAAAATCTAGAGGCAGACATCCAAAGAGGCAGGAGCAGATCCAGTCTTCTAGAAAGCCTAAAAGATATAAAACTTGCAGTAGACTTTACGTCTGACGCTTCGGTGGATCTGGTTAAGGCCTTTGCCAGAAATATGGCCCTCTCCGTTTCAGCCAGAAGGGCTTTATGGTTAAGGTCCTGGATAGCAGATACCTCTTCTAAATCTAGTTTATGTGCCTTACCTTTCCACGGCGACATGTTGTTTGGAAAAAACTTGGATGAATGTATTAAAAGAGCAGCCGAAGGCAAAAGGGCTTTTCTCCCGCAGGATCGTAAACCCAGAGGTTCCTTTCGATCCAAAAGATATCCAGACTATTTTTCCTTTCGAGATGCCAGATCTTACAAGCCAGGAAGAGAGCATGGAAGATCCCAGCCTTGGAGAGGTGGACAGTCATCCAGAGGCGGTAAATCTAGAGGCACCTCATTCCACAAGAACCCCAGATCTTTATGACTGGTCCCCCCCCCAGTCAGTAGGTGTAGGGGCACGTCTGTTACGTATGGGAAGTATCCACCACAGACATATGGGTGTTGGATATCATAAGAAGGGGATATCGTTTAGAATTTTTCAGACCCCTTCCAGCTTACTCCTTTCAAACAACCAAAAGGCCAGGAGACGCAGCAAAAAGACAGGCCTTGAAAGATTTCATCTCGACACTCCAGGAAGGAAATGTCATCATTCCAGTTCCTCAGCAACAACAAGGTCAAGGGTTTTACTCTCACCTGTTTCTCACCAGAAAGGCTTCAGGTGGTTGGAGACCTATCTTAGACTTAAGCAGACTAAATCAGCATCTCCTCATCCGAAAGTTCAAGATGGAATCTATTCAATCCATCATAAAGGTCGTCTTTCCACACCAATGGATGATTTCTATAGACTTGGCAGAAACTTATTTCCACATCCCCATCGCTCCAGAACATCAGAAATTCCTTCGGTTTGCGGTGGAACAAGGGCATTTTCAATTCCGATCCCTGCCGTTTGGTCTCAGCACAGCTCCAAGAACATTCTCCAAGGTCTTGGTTGTTTTGATTGCGGAGCTCAGGAAAAAGGGCATAGCCATTTTCCATTACTTAGACGACATTCTCATCTTGGCAGAAGACACAGATACCCTTCAGACCCATGGACAGGTTTGTCTACGTTTTCTACGCCGTCATGGTTGGAAGATAAACGAGAACAAGAGCCAATTACAGCCGGTTCAGGAGATGAAATATTTTGGGGCCATATTCAACACTCTAGCAGGCACAGTGCAACTGTCTCCAGAAAGAGGTACGAAGTTGAGGAGCAAAGTCAAAGACATGTTGGCATCCAATGTGACCTCAGCAGAAAGATGCATGAGCCTATTGGGATCAATGTCCTCCACCATCGGGCTGACAAGATGGGCCCAATGGAGGATGAGGATTTTTCAGAAGAATTTCATCCTTCAGTTCAGATCGAAAAGTCCACTTCAGGCTATCAAGATTCCCCCTCAGGTCCATCAATCTCTGATTTGGTGGTTACAGAAGAAATCCGTGTTCAGAGGGTTTCCATTGGGGAACATCGCATGGACAGTTATTACCACGGACGCAAGCCAGTGGGGATGGGGTGCCCACCTGCAAGATCAGTTTATCCAGGGGAAATGGTCCTTTCCAGTAACAGAGACTCCCTCCAACCAATTGGAGCTTCTGGCAGTTCTAAAAGCTCTAGAGAATTTCCTTCCCCTCATACGCTTCAAATGGATCAAGATCAGATCAGACAATTCCACTGTAGTTGCCTACATAAACCATCAAGGGGGAACAAGGAGTCGGAAAATGATGTCCATCATGAAGCCCCTAATGTCCTTCTCCCAGAAGCATCTAGCGGGCCTATCGGCGATCCATCTTCTGGGAGTCCAGAATTCCATAGCGGATTACCTGAGCAGAGTGGAATTAGATCCAGGGGAATGGAGTCTGTCAAACAAGGTGTTCGAAGACATCTCTCAAGTATGGGGCATACCACAAGTCGACCTTATGGCAACACACAAGAACAGGAAGGTGCAGCACTTCTTTTCAAAAAACATCGATCCCCAAGCATCAGGAAGGGATGCTCTTTCAATCGTTTGGGAATTTCACCTGGGATACGCATTTCCTCCTACGCCCCTCATCTTTCCTCTTCTGAGATGATTGAGGCAGGAGAAGGTATCCATCATCCTCATAGCTCCCTTTTGGCCTCGCAGGCCGTGGTTTCCTCTGTTGTTGAGCCTTTGCAGTGCAGACCCCTGGCAGCTTCCAAATATTCCTTCCCTTCTGCATCAGGGTCCTGTCCTCCATCCAGACCCTGCCTCCCTCAAGCTGATGGCATGGAAATTGAAAGGGAAAGGTTGAACTGCAAAGGATTTTCCCATTCTGTCGTTGAAACTCTACTGCAAGCAAGGAAACGCTCTACATCTTCCACTTACTACAGAATCTGGGACATTTTTTCCTACTGGGCTGCATCCAACCACAGGGATATTCAGTCTATCTCCACCAAGGAGATCCTTGAATTTCTACAATCCGGTCTTGATAAGGGTCTAAGCTACAATACCCTGAAGGTACATATTTCAGCTCTTTCGGCCCTTACGGACCAAAGATGGGCCTTAAACACAGACGTGATAAGATTTATGGCAGCAGTTTTGAAAATCAAGCCTCCTATCAAGCCCTTCGCTCCACCATGGGATCTTCCCTTGGTGTTAAAAGCTCTGAGCAATTCTCCTTTTGAACCTCTTGAATCCATCTCTCCTCAGTTACTCACCATTAAGACGGTTCTATTGGTGGCCTTAGCCTCAGGTAGACGAGTGTCTGAACTCCATGCCTTATCTACAAAAGAGCCCTTTACAGTTTTTCATAAGGACAGAGTTATTTTACGAACTGTTACAGAATTTCGTCCTAAAGTGGTGTCAGCTTTTCACATTAACGAAGAAATAGTACTCCCGGCTCTTCATACAGAGTCTTCTACTGAGGATGATGAATCTCGGCCTTCTCCATTGGATCTTGTTCGATGTCTGTTTATGTATCTACAAAGATCTTCAGCCTGGCAGATCTCTCAAAGGCTATTCGTTATCCCCAACGGCCCCAGAAGAGGCCTTCAAGCTTCTAAGATGGCCATCAGTAGATGGATTGTTGCCGCCATCGTTCAGGCTTACCAAGCCTCAAAGATGAAGGTTCCTGAGGGGCTCAAGGCTCACTCCACGAGGTCCCTTTCCTCATCTTGGGCAGCAGCTGCTAATTTGTCATCCGAGCTGATTTGCAAAGCAGCCACTTGGTCTTCTCCAAACACGTTTATTAAGCATTACCAGATTGACGTTAAAGCCAGCCAATCAGACTCTTTTGGCAAATCAGTCTTATCCGCAGTCAACTCTTCTTGATTGATTTCTATTGCACGTGTGATTTCTAATACACCAGCATTTAAAATGTTCTTGAGTTTGTGTTTCTTTATTCCCTCCCTTGGTTATTGCTTGGGTATTACCCATTGTTGTGCTGCCATGGATATGGCCAGGAAAGATGAAAATTTATCCATACTTACCGTAATTTTCCTTTCCTGGTCATAGGCCATGGCAGCACTTAGATCCCGCCCTGGGATATTGCTGTTAACAAGACTAAGGGACCATTGGTGGGAGGGGGTATTTATACCCCTGATTTTAATTCTGTTCTTGTCTAATTAGGGATAGGGAGGAGCTAACCCATTGTTGTGCTGCCATGGCCTATGACCAGGAAAGGAAAATTACGGTAAGTATGGATAAATTTTCATATATATATATATATATATATATATATATATTCAAAGCGGTAGCAGCACTCACGGAGTTTAAAAGTTCCAATCTTTATTTGTTCATATTAAAAATCACGATCGACGTTTCAGTCCTCTCTATGGGACTTTCTTCAGGATCAATAATGGTATTGATCCTGAAGAAAGTCCCATAGAGAGGACTGAAACATTGATCGTGATTTTTAATATGAACAAGTAAAGATTGGAACTTTTAAACTCCGTGAGTGCTGCTACCTCTTTGGATATTTGGATAACCAAGCCCTGGCTTAACACCTGGCAAACAAGGGACATTTACAGCGTGAGTGCAAGAGATTTTTCTTTTATATATATATTTATTTATTTTAGTATTTTTTTTAGTTTTAGCATATACATTTAATTAGTATATAATTTTTTGTGCATTATCATACAATTCCACATCCTTTCCTCTTCACTGTCGACTTTGAAAACTCCCTGTGGATTGGTAGTACTATCCTATGCATACAAAGTGCTAGCTAAATTATTAAATTACAAGACGTTGAAGGAAATGAATAATAAAAAAAAAAAATCTTCTACTTATTTGCTGATATTAGCATTAAAGCCAGTCTAACCAGTTTAATTGCCTTCTAGGTTTAATAATGAAGCCAGACATGATTGTGAATATGATGGGAACAAGCCTGATGGTCTGGCACACCCATGAAGCGACATGATGACATGGCATACAACAATGCATTTTTATAGTTACACACGTTTTCACAAATAAGTACTTGCAATGCACTCACATACAATAAAACATTTTACATACTTAAGCCCTCATCCTATCATGCAGCAACATTTTCATTTCAGCAGCTCTCCCCCCCTTCTTTAATCATTTTCACCATTTTGTCCTTGATTAATTCCAAATTCCATTAAAGGGACATAATTATAGGGACATATCATGCCCCAGTCATTTTAACACTGTAACTGAAAACACTGCCATTCTGCAGATTTAAATACCTTTGGTAGTTGTCACATTTACAGCCACCAGAGACACCAGCCAAAATAGCCAAATGAAACTCAGCTATTTCATTAAGATGGACTCATAGAGACCATTTGATTGGTGTGAGTGATGTTTTGCCATACATGCATAATAGCCTCAAAATCAAAGATTGAAGACCTCCAATGACACTTGGCCAGCCGTGCAGAGATCACTGTGGCAAGGAAGAATAGGTAAGTAGACACTCTTTTTGTTTTACTTCAGCTAAGGACACCTAAACATTGATCACGTCACTATGGCATTAGGAATATATGTTTGTATCCCTGACGCTATAGTGCTCCTTTAATATCTGCAGATCAATTTCAACTCTCCTTACTGTAAGCTCTATCTCAATTCATTATTGACCCCATCACTGTGCCCCAATGACCCAAACTGTAATTCTCTCTCTTCACTAAATCATCCAGAATACACTTTAAAGGAGCACTATAGTGCCAGGAAAACAAACTTCTTTTCCTCTCACTACAGGGTCATTAGGTCCCCCCCACCCTCAGGGCCCCCCTCCCGCTGGGCTGAATAGGTTAAAACCCATTCAGCCACTTACCTTTCTCCAGCGCCGGGCTCCCTCTGTGCTGGGGAACTCTCCACCCCCTGCCGACGTCAGATCCGAATGCGCATGCGTGGCAAGAGCCACGAGCGCATTCAAACAGCCCATATGAAAGCATTTCTCAATGCTTTCCTATGGACGTCCAGCGTCTTCTCACTGTGATTTTCACAGTAAGAATTGCTGAAGCGCCTCTAGCGGCTGTCAGTGAGACAGCCACTAGAGGCTGGATTAACCCTCAGTGAAACATAGCAATTTCTCTGAAACTGCTATGTTTTCAGCTGCAGGGTTAAAACTAGAGGGACCCTCTTGCAAATGCATTAGAAGTAAAACCATGTATTTGGTGACTGAAAGGGGAACGCAAGTCATCTAAACTGTAAAAGAAACATTGCTTTATTTCTAATGTTTGTGTTTTACTTTAAAGAAAGGTGAAAAAACCCTAAGCAATAAAAATGCAGCACATTGTTTAACCTGTTATTGTGTTACGTACATTAGACTCATATTCATGCAGATCTTTCAGTTTCACGTCTTCAGTTTCTTTCTGGTATTTTTGCATTAGTTCCTGGAGACTTGTCTGAAAAAAAAGAATGTTAAATATTAACAGTTCTGTAGATTGGGTAAAGATATAGCATGGTGTAAGAAATTAAAGGGAAACCGTTGCATCTCCGTAAATTTCACTATTGAATAAGACATATAACATGTTTTAACCATTTTTTCATGTGATGCTTCATTTTCTTTTAAATATTTATGAAAGACTTATTATTTATCTTCACAAGCCAGTTTAGTACATGCACATAGAGGCATGTAGTCAATTTCGCATCCCTTTTTTATGCTAACAGAGCTTATAGCAAAGACGGACAAAAAGCCAATATGGAGGAACCCCGTTTGAGGATATAGATAAATACGGTTGTGTGGAATTTTATATATAATTTTATTTTTCCCAGACCTCACAAAAACATATTTGTGAAAAACAAATAACAAAAAACAAATAAGTAATGTTTCATAGTTTCATAGTTACATAGCTGTAAAGAGACTTGCGTCCATCAAGTTCAGCCTACCTCACATTTGTTTTTTGCTGTTGATCCAAAAGAAGGCAAAAAAACCCAGTTTGAAGCACAATTTTGCAACAAACTAGGAAAAAAATTCCTTCTTGACTCCAGAATGGCAGTCAGATTTATCCTTGGATCAAGCAGTTATTACCCTACATTAATGTTATGTTAATGTTAATTATGTTAATGTTAAGAATGCTTGTACTGGGGGCGGAGCCTGACTCCCAAGTAGACTAGACGCACATGCCGAGGGCTCCTGAGTCCGGAGCCCAGATTCTGGGTTTATTGCCCGACTACCAGATTGTACCAACAGCTTAAAGCAATATTCGTATCTGGGGGACTGCGCTGCGCCGGGTGATACCCGATTCAAGGTTCTCCGGTGCTGGACTGACCCAATCGTGGGAGCCGAGGAGAGACGGCCATATAGACGACATACGATCCCCACAGACAGTTGATAGCCACCGGGTGATTATGATATCCATTAGGTACACCACAGATGGGCCTAGAGATCCACGTTCGCACCTATTGTGTAAAGGTCTTAGTTGTATGGGTACTAAACTGGTATTTACTTACTGCAATGTACTACATATGTTCTTCTCATCCTGAACTTTTGTCTGCACTGTAACCACTAAGACCTCTGTTATTAATACTGCATGTGATGTCACCACTGTTGTCAAACTATTGCTATATTTGCTGTCATTGTACAAGGCACTGTCTACTGCTCAAGTCTAAATAAAGAATGTAAAAAAAAAAATGCTTGGAACTGAAAGTTCGAATCAAAAGGTACAACACAGTGAATACAATAAGAAATAAAATGCAAAGAATGACACTGTACATAAATCAATATTTAACTGTTGACGTAATGAGGTAGGTATTATGCTACTGTTTGGATCCAACTTAGATGCAATTTTCAAGAGAAACCCAAGTTAAATAAAGTTGTACTAAATAGATAGAACCCTTTAGACAACCTTCCACCAGTAGATAGAAACCATCTCTCATATAAGAGACCATAAGATGAGAACATTAGGATTGGAATCCAAGGAACTGGTGCAGTTTGACAGATCTTATGGAAGGATATAAGGTATGTTTAGTAGGAAGCAGACTTTTCACCACTAAAGTTTGAAATGATCAGCTGGCTCTGCTTGACAGAATTTCTGTTTTTCAGACATTCATTGTATTTTCCAAAAATGATACCCAATGCCCTTGGAACCACTTTTAAATTTGTCTTGCATTTATATTTGGTATGCGTAGAATCATGACTTTCTCTTTCTCTTGTAGTATTTGTTATTCATCCCCTTTCCTTATTTATCCCATGTTTTCAATAAATGTATTTATAGTTTCATTTTGTTAATATGTATATCACAGCTTCTTATGTTGGATAGCTAATATATATATTTTATATATTATAAAACTTAGAATTAACATTGAATTATGGAACAAAATATTAAATGTGGTAACACTATCAGATTGGAAAACTAAATTCTTCCAGTTATACACTTCCCCAAAATAGCCTGGTTTCTAAAGTTCAAAATTAGCTCATATTTAGTCTCCCTACCTGCATGCTGGGTGGTTAGGCAGATTCACCATTAATATATTCACAATGGATAAATGGTATTACCATAAATCTTCAAGGTGGATAAATGCATTAGCATCCATGTACTTCCCACTGCATTACCAGCTGTTAAATCATGTCAAATAGTAAATCTTAGTATGGGTTAATCTAGGGCAATGCCTACCTATCACACATATTAAAACTTTGTAATGCATCTAATGTCAAAGAAGATAGTACTAGCTTGGAGGGACTTATAAGGCGCTCATCAGCAACAGAGTGCACCGAGTTAAAACTACACTTACATACTGTTGAAAAGACATTGTCTGAGGAAAGAAATGGCCATCCCATAAAGCATAAGGTAATTTATGGGCTACAACCCCAAATTAAAGGGGTCAAAATATGAGGAAAATAAGTGTGGTATACAATCATACCAATACAGTAAAATCATAATTGAAAATAAGTCAAGCTCACATATAAAACCAACAGTGTTATTCTTACTGAGATGCAAAAATAAAGGGAATCTATCATCATGGTCAAACGGGAAAGTGAGATACCTGGGGGTGAAGATCACCAGAGACCTTTCCCAACTGTATCAGGCTAACGTTTTACTTATGTTGACCTCCTCTCGGAAAAAGGAGGACTTACTGTGTATATGTATATGTATATATATATATATATATCCTGGCTAGGCCGTATTTCTGTAACCAAGTTGAATCTGTTACTGCACTTCCTTTATCTTTTCCAGACACTCACCATACAATTTCCCACAGCATACTTTAAGTCTTTCAGATCCTTACTGTTTAAATACATATGGGGTTTGAGGAAACCAAGATTGAAGTTTCAGGATCTTATGATGCCTATAAAGGAAGGTGGACTAGCTGTACCTGACTGCCTACAATACTATCGCTTTACCCACTTGCAGCAGGTGGTGGAGTAGGCTAAGGAAGGTGTACATAAACTTTGGAAAAGCATAAAACAAACCCAGATGAATGGGTTACTTAGAGCTTTGCTGTTGATGGACCCTACTGCTAGTAGGACACCGGTGGTTCAGCTGCACTTAATCCGTTCTACCCTACACATCTGGCACACACTGGCTCCCAAGACAGCGTTGTCCTCTTTCCCATTTGCCCTCTATCCCTTAAACTGCAATTCAGACTTTTGTCTGGGATTGGAGACGAGGACTCTCATAGGTTTCCTCACATCAGCCAACCCACAAATCAGACACATGGTGAGTGATGGCACATACGATATTCTAGGGGACTCAACTGGTACAATCATGCAGAATTTCCAATATGAACAACTAAAAAGATTCATAAACCAAATGCCCCAAAAACCAAACCTTCACAAACCGATGACTACATTTGAAAACCTGTGACGAGCATGACCCATTGACACATGCCATTACCCACCTACACTCGGCTGTGAGGAACTGACTCTGCTGGGTTTCGAACCCTGGTTTACATGGTGCTAAACCTCTTCCTTACCAGTACACCAGCCTGCCTTTTGCAAATTTACCTGAGATCTGATACCATTGCTTGTAGAGTCAAGGTTATCAGTGACAACTCTCTTCAGCTGTGTCTGGTCAGGTGTCTGGTTCTTGGCCTATAAAAGCCACTTCCTGTCTCTGTACCTTTGCCAGATTATTGTGGTTCCTGTACTCTCTAATCAAGCGTGTTCCTGTTTCTCCTTCCTGTTGCTGAATTTGGACTGTTTTGACTTTGCTGCTTCTCCTTCCCACTGACCTCGGCTTGCCTCACTACGATTATCATCTTTCTGTTCCAGTCTCCCATCTCTGCTTAAGACCAGAAGGCCACTCAAGGCTCAGGGGCTCAACCACCTGGGTAACGAGTGGCTACCTCTGGCAGAAAACATTGCTGATCTGGCTACTGGACTCCAAAACTTTGTAACATCAATATCATTACAGAATAATCTGGCCCATTCATGGAGACCGTCGGATCAGATTCTGCATTGGCCCAGCAGGTTGCTTTTAATGCAAGAACTATGCAGACCCAGGCACAGACCATTCAAGTGCTGCAGGATCAGGTAGCTGAACTGCAAAATGAAGTTCGATCAATGCATAGTGAGCTTACCAGCTACAGGGCACATGATGTTGCGGCTGCTGCTACTACTACTGTTACACCTGCACAAGATGCCCGCTTGCCTCTACCAGAAAAATTTGGAGGAGACCGCAAAAAATTCAGGGGTTTCCTAAATCAATGCCGTTTGCATTTCATGATGTTACCTAACCGTTTTCCATCTGAAAGAGAGAAGGTGGGATTTATTTTTTCCCTCTTCAAAGATGAAGCCCTGGCCTGGGGCTCCCCTTTTCTGGAACAGGACAGTCCAGTCTTGGGAAATTTAAAAGACTTTCTTGAGGCCATGTGCCTAGTTTTTGATGATCCCAATCGCTGTGCTACAGCAGAAGCCACTCTCCTTCATTTACATCAAGGGAGGCGCTCTGTGGCTGAATATGCTTCTGAATTCAGACAGTGGGTTACTGATACTACTTGGAACCAATCAGCCCAGAGGTTCCACTTCAGAAGGGGTCTCTCAGAAGCTATAAAAGATGAGTTAGCTCGTGTTGATCTTCCTGTTGAGTTTGATGCATTTGTGCGGCTGGCTATCCGTATTGATCGGAGGCTTTCAGAAAGAAGATTGGAAAGACAGGGCTCTTTTAAACCAAGTGCTACTCCTACTTTCTATTCAAGAATTTCTACTCCGACCCCACAAACACCTACAGACTCTGAACCTGAGGCTATGCAGGTAGATCTAATAAGAGGGCCATTATCCAATGAAGAAAAACAGTGGCGACGCACTCACAACCTATGCCTGTATTGTGGTAGTGCAGGGCATTATGCCATCAATTGCCCTAACAAGTCTAAAAGAACAATAGCTATGACTGCTGAGGGTGCACAGATTCAACACCAATCCCAGATTTCAGACCAACTGGATTCTGTCACACAACCCTTGTTTTCTCTGGCTCAGGGTGAAGAAGGTATGATGACTCAACATCCTCATTTGGTGGTGCCTATCACTTTGCAATATGGTGATAATAAAATTTCAACTACAGCTATGATAGATTCCGGAGCAGGCGGAAACTTTATGGACATTACATTTGCAGCAGGAAATAAAATTCAGTCTATCCCTAAATCTTCACCTGTGTTAATGGAAACAGTAGACGGTTCTCCACTTACGTCAGGCCCGGTTACACATGAGACTGTGCCCTTAAAATTGATTCTGGAAGTGAATCACCATGAGTCTATATCTTTCCACCTAATTTCCTCAACACAGTTTCCAGTGATTTTGGGTATACCCTGGCTTGCTCTGCATAACCCACAGATTGATTGGAAGACTAGAACTTTGTCCTTTCCTTCAGAACACTGCTTAATGAATTGTCAACCCTCTAAGGCGACACCTGTTACCACAACAATTAATGAAATGGTTGCTACAAACTTAACTAAGCTTCCGCTACAATATCGGGATTTTGCAGATGTCTGTGATAAGAAGAATGCTGATCAGCTTCCACCTCACAGGCCTTATGATTGCCCCATAGAGCTGCTACCTGGAGCTGCTATCCCATTTGGCCGTATATACTCCCTTTCTGAGCCTGAATTGAAAGCACTTCGTGAATACATACAAGAAAATCTTGCCAAAGGCTTTATTCGACCATCCACTTCTCCAGCAGGAGCTCCTATATTCTTTGTAGAAAAGAAAGATGGCAGTCTACGGCCATGTGTCGATTACAGGGACATTAATAAAATCACTGTTAAAAACCGTTATCCCTTGCCTCTCATTCCTGAACTTCTGGAGAGACTTCGTTCAGCTAAAATATTTACGAAGCTTGATCTACGGGGGGCATATAATCTGGTTCGCATAAGACCAAATGATGAATGGAAAACAGCTTTCAGAACCAGGTACGGACATTACGAATATCTAGTAATGCCATTTGGGCTTTGTAATGCCCCTGCAACTTTTCAGCATCTAATCAATGATGTACTACGGGATCTCCTGGATCAGTTTGTTGTGGCATATTTGGATGATATCCTGATATTTTCTGATAATCTTGAAAATCACAGAAAACAGGTCTGCATTGTTCTTGAGCGCCTTCGTACCCACCACCTATACATTAAACTGGAAAAATGTGAGTTTGAACAAACAGAAATTCAGTTCCTGGGGTATGTAATAACTCCTAAAGGTTTAAGTATGGACGCAAGTAAAATTAAAGCTGTGCTGGACTGGCCCATCCCCAAGAATGAAAAAGATATACAGAGATTTGTGGGGTTTGCCAATTTTTACAGGCGTTTCATTAAGAATTTCTCTGCCGTTATTACACCGATCACTGAACTTACACGTAAAGGGACTCCTTTTCAGTGGTCCAATAAGGCTGACACTGCATTTTCCAGATTAAAGACTCTGTTTACATCTGCCCCTATCTTGGTACATCCTCAGCCAGAATTGCCATTTACTGTAGAGGTAGATGCTTCTGATTCAGCTGTTGGGGCTATACTGTCTCAAAGGACTGGACCTAAGATGTTGTTACATCCATGTGCCTTCTATTCCCGCCAGATGTTACCAGCAGAAAGAAATTATGACATAGGGAATAAAGAACTTTTGGCTATAAAAGCTGCCTTCACCGAATGGAGACATCTCTTGGAGGGAGCCACCCATCCAATTACTGTCCTCACAGATCACAAAAATCTGGAATGTATCCAATCCGCTAAGAGACTGTCAGCCAGACAAGCACGCTGGTCCCTATTTTTCTCAAGGTTTAATTTTTTTATTTCATACCGCCCTGGTTCCAGAAATGGCAAGGCGGATGCCTTGTCTAGGATAGCTGACCCCCTCCATACTACAGTAACCAAGGCCACCATCTTGCCGGAGAGCAGATTTTTAGGAGTTACCTTTCCTTCTGATCTAATGTCTCGCATTAAAAAGGGCTACTCTAAAGATCCAGTTTTTCGTGATCCTCCTCATGATCTTCATATGACCATGCTTAATGGGTTTTGGATTTTTCAACAACGTCTGTTTGTTCCAGAATCAGTGCGACTGGACGTTTTACGCCTCTACCATGACTCTAAACCAGCAGGTCATCCAGGAATCCGAAAGACACAAGAACTACTTACCCGATCCTTTTGGTGGCCTAAATATTATGAGGATGTTAAGAAGTATGTGTCCTCTTGTGATGTATGTGCCAGACATAAGACTCCTCGCTCATCCCCTGTTGGCTTGCTTCAGCCTCTTCCGATTCCTCATCGTCCCTGGGGATCTATATCCATGGACTTTATTGTGGAACTACCTCCCTCTAAGGAACACACTACCATTCTTGTTGTTGTGGACCGGTTAACCAAGATGAGTCATTTCATACCAGCTCGTGGTCTCCCTTCAGCTAAACAGACTGCTGACCTTGTTATTCGGGAAATATTTCGCTTGCATGGAGTGCCTGATGAAGTAATTTCTGACAGGGGAGTGCAGTTTACATCTCATTTTTGGAAATATTTTTGTTCTATTCTAGGTATTAATGTAAATCTGTCTTCAGCTTTTCATCCACAAAGTAATGGACAGACTGAGCGAACCAACCAGACTTTAGAACAATATTTGCGGTGCTATATTAGTTACCTGCAGGATGACTGGCTGGATTTTCTACCCACGGCGGAGTTTGCCTATAACAATGCCCAACACTGCTCCACTTCTCTGAGCCCATTTTTTGCCAATTATGGTTACCATCCAACCTTTCTAGTGAGTCTCCCAATTACTACTCCCATTCCTGCAGTCACTGACCGGCTAACCGCCTTACGAGATTCCCAAGAACTGTTGAAGGAGACTCTTTCGGAGGCTCAGGAATGTTACAAAAGAGCTGCTGATAGGCACAGAAAGGAGGCCCCAGTTTATCATGTTGGTGACAAGGTTTGGCTGTCAACAAAGAATCTTAAGCTTAGGATTCCTTCTCATAAATTGGGTCAAAAGTTCATGGGACCTTTTAAGATAATCGCTCAGATCAATGCAGTCACCTTCCGTCTGCAACTTCCGGATTCCATGAAAATACATCCGGTGTTTCACGTGGCACTGCTTAAACCTTTTCATGAAAATACTTTCCCTGGTCGAGCCTTGCCTGCCCCACCACCAGTCCTCGTGGATGGTGAAGATGAATACGAGGTGGAAAAAATTCTTGACTCCAGGATCTTCCGCAACAAGCTTCAATATTTGGTTCATTGGAAAGGCTATGGTGAGGAGGATAGATCGTGGGAACCAGTGGACAATATTCATGCTCCTGATCTTCTTCAGTCTTTCCATGCACAGTACCCTGCTAAACCAGGAAATAGGGCATCCAGAGGCTGCGCCTGTAGAGGTGGAGGTAATGTGAGGAACTGACTCTGCTGGGTTTCAAACCCTGGTTTACATGGTGCTAAACCTCTTCCTTACCAGTACACCAGCCTGCCTTTTGCAAATTTACCTGAGATCTGATACCATTGCTTGTAGAGTCAAGGTTATCAGTGACAACTCTCTTCAGCTGTGTCTGGTCAGGTGTCTGGTTCTTGGCCTATAAAAGCCACTTCCTGTCTCTGTACCTTTGCCAGATTATTGTGGTTCCTGTACTCTCTAATCAAGCGTGTTCCTGTTTCTCCTTCCTGTTGCTGAATTTGGACTGTTTTGACTCTGCTGCTTCTCCTTCCCACTGACCTCGGATTGCCTCACTACGATTATCATCTTTCTGTTCCAGTCTCCCATCTCTGCTTAAGACCAGAAGGCCACTCAAGGCTCAGGGGCTCAACCACCTGGGTAACGAGTGGCTACCTCTGGACTCCAAAACTTTGTAACATCAATATCATTACACTCGGCCCTCCAATATGGTGGAAACTATCCGCCTCCATCATACATGGGTGAGACTTCTATAGGGGAAAGCTTCACATCCAACTAGTGGAGTAAAATATGTGACCTTGTGCATGACCAGCGTTGAATTTACCGTGAGGCTGATAAGGCATTTGCCTTGGGTGGTACTTTCAGACGGAAGCAAAAAAAGCCACACCCCAAACCCCGGCAGATGCCATGTCAGTCTCTTGTCCTGGGGAACCCATGGTAGGCTTCATGAGTCATAGGGAGATGGACAGGTAGTGGTTGGGTAGAGGGAGGAGGATATAGATAGCCAAGATGTGGATTACCGCAGACAAAAAAAGCCTCATGGGGGGGAATAAGGAAGGCTCCCCTGTGAAATTACAGCTTCTTCTTTGCTCCCTTCCTCCCTACCCCTCTCTCTCCACCAAGTCAATCACTTTAACCTGCATTAGGCAATTCAGACTAATACATTTGTATCTTTATGTTCCAAAACTGGCTTGAGCTAAGTTGACAAGTAGTACAGTTGTTTTGGGAGTACGGACATGATTACCAATCATAATTCACCACTTCGCAGGGACCTGTGAGTCCCATAGCAATCTGTTATATATACCAATTTTGAGTACCCTGAGACCAGTTACAATGATCACATTTTAGGGACCTGTGTGTCCACTTAAGTTTCAGATTGAAATTTTTTTTAAATAAAAATATCTTTACAAAAAAATAAATAAAGGGAAACTTTGTGGTAAAATTACTCACTATTTAGAATGCAATCTATAATGCATTAAAATGAATGCCAAAAGGAATTTTATTAAAGACCCGTAGGCTCCTATTATACTGCACTCTTTCTTTAATTCCCTCAGCAGCAAAGAAACATTATTTGAAAAAAAGTTAACATTTGAACAGGTATAATCATCACAATGATAATGTCCGCCTAGTAACATGACCCTCCAATCAGTGACATCCTTCTCCTATAGCAGGCGGAGCATCAGTGACCATTTTCTCTTTCTTTGCTGCTTCCCTCAGATAAGTACTCCTCTCACAGTGCTCTAAGACTGTGAGACCATCTTATGATTGTATTATATACTGTTGTTTACTACCTTAACCTTATTTTACGTGGTACCTTAAATGTTCATCTTTATTTTATGTGTGATGAATTTATATTAATTTTCAACTTAGTATTGTACTTTACTTTCCAAAAATACATTCTATACATTTTTATTATGGCATTTGTGCTTCACATTTGCACTGTTTGAAAGAGGAAATAATACTTTCTCATCAGTACAGAACTACTGAATCAGCCAACCGACCGTGCTCACGTGTGCTAGGACTCCTGTTCGTCCACGCATGCGAGTCTCGTCATCCATTATCGCAGCGGCCATTTTGTTCAAGGTCTTCCCACCCTTTTGCTCTGATATGCCCACTTCGCCCTCTGGTCGGAGTGGGTGTCCAGAATTAGTGGCGGACGGTTCTCTGTTTATGCTCTCCCCCCATTAGTGGCTGTGAGTAGTTGGCATTGTTATAAAATCTAATTTTATTACTTGTGATTGTCAATTGTTTTCCTCTGGGTTACTTAATCCAGTTCACCATTGTACTACTTATCATTAAATTACCCTTGACCTTACTACCTTATTACTATACTTCAATATGCAGTCACCCAATGAATTACCTGGGCCATCTGGGGCTGAATCTAATCCCCAAACCTCCATAGCTTTGCCTCATATGATTGTTGGGGACAGTGGTGTATCCTGGTTTTGTGCTGCCCTAGGCAGGACAAAACGCAGGCGCCCTCCCCCTCCCCCCCTCCCCCCGCGCCAACCTCCCCTGCACCAACCCCCCCGCCTTCTAAATACACACACACACATTCACTGACAGATACGCATACACTCGCTAACAGAAACACACACACACTAACAGACACACTCACACTCACTAACAGACACACTCACACAGTCAGACACACACACACACACTCACTGACACACTAAGACAAACATAGTCAGACACATACACTAACAGACACACTCACTCACTAGCAGACACACACACACACACACTAACAAACAAACACACACACATTAACAGACACACACACTCACAGGCAAACACACACTCACTGACACACACACACAGTCAGACACACACACATACACACTAACAGACACAGTCAGACACACACTAACAAAACACAAACACATTAACAGACACACACTCACTCACTCACTCACTCACATTAACACATTTTTTTATTTATTTTTATTTAGCCCCCCCCCCTTACCTTTGGGAGTGCTGGGGGGAGGGAGGGGGGTTCATTACCTCCCTGGTGGTCCAGTGGATGCCGGCTGGGCTAGGCAGGCGGCTGGCGAGGGAGCTCTTCCCGTGAGCTGACTGCTCAGCTCCCTCGTGCGCCGCCCGCAGAGTGAGGCTGGGAGCCGGAATAGGACGTCATCTTCCGGTTCCCAGCCTCACTCTGCTGCGCGCGAGGGAGCTGAGCGGGCCGCTCAGGGGAAGAGCTCCCTCGCCTGCCCAGCCGGTCAGTTAGCCGCGAGGCTAACAAAGCATTTGCCTGGGCATTTGGGGGGCGGCGTTTTTTGCTGCCCCCTGAAAAATGCCGCCCAAGGCAAATGCCTTGTTTGCCTCGTGGCTAAAACTCCCCTGGTTGGGGATGAGACTGACTTTCCTGCATCTGAGGAAATTCAGGCAATTATGGACACTACTGTGTCAAAAGCCTTGGCTTCTGCAATGGACATTATGTCCTCATCTCTATCAAAATCTTTCACACAAGGCCCAATCAGTGGTCCCTCCGGCAGCTATGCCAGCCGCAATACCCACAGACTCTCACCCTACACACCCCGGCCGCAAGGCCTCTGCAAAAATAAAGCACTCATCCAAAAAACAGATGGACAGTTCTAAACCTGTCACAGATGGCGCGAATAATAATCCACTGCGCAAAAGAGCCTCTAGCCGGGCAAAAGCGGCTAGGAATTGGAAATGGGCTAAAGCCCAACCAGATTATACTGAGTCTGAACTCAGCTCAGAGGAGGAGAGTGCATTGTCATTGGAATCAGACCAGTCAAATGATTTATCTGACTTAGATTCAGACTACGGATTTGGTGAGGATTCAAAAACCTCTACCGATTTACATACCACAAGCACATCTAACCCTGACCTAAATAAAGGGGATAAAATACTCGACCCACAGGGCGAACCCCTATTTGAGCCTAATGACTTGCGCCACCCCCGCTCAGCGGAGTGGTCGCCGGCGGAACATGTGGCACAATATGTGGCATCCCGGGTCCGCAAGCCTCTAGATAAGGCGGCCTGAAATAAGCTAAGGGCAGAATGCCCACGCCCCACTGTACCTGACGAGGCCTGTAAGACCCCCCTAGTTGACCCCAAAATTATCCAGTTCCTGAGCAAAACTGGATGGAAGCCTAAGAAAGGCTTGGATTTTTACTTATACAATTGCCAGGACAAGGTTCTAGATTTATTGGGACCAGCAACCAAAATATTTGAAGCCGTGGAAGAATCCTTGGCCCAAGATGAGGTCCTAGACCAACTCACGATTAGAGGCTGGATCCAAAGAATTATATGCCTCATTGGCAATGCTAATACCGCTCTTGCCACAGAGCGCCGGAAATCTATCCTATTAAAGATAGAGCCTAAGCTCATTCACATGGCAATTACAGAACCAGGCCCTCAAGCTAAAGGTTTCCTCTTTGGAGACTCATTTGTCAAAGACCTGGGCGCATATGTCCAAACATTTACTGCCTTGGACAAGGCACAATTAAACATGAAAAGGGTGTTCAACCCAAAGGTTTTTTCTAGGGCCGGCAGAGCAAGGGGCCGGCAGAGTTCATAGAGGTTCACGCCAAACGAACCGAGGCTCCTACATGGGGAGAACCCCCTTTCCAGAGCAGAGGTCCACTCCGACTTTCTTCCCTCAAAGAGGCAGACCATGGGTGTCGAGAGGCTCACGAGGCGCTCCTTCCGGAAGACGTCCTTACGGTAAGCTACCTACCTCGTTTTTCTTCTCATGTCACAGTTGAGGGCAGACTCACACATTTTTCCCATGTCTGGGCTCTCATTACATCAGATGTCTGGATACTCAAAGCAGTCCACGGATACCTCATAGACTTTTTATCCCTACCTATCCAACAATCCCCACCCAGGGAGATTGTTTTTTCCCGATCAGATACTATCCTCGTCTCCGAGGAAATACAAAAGTTAGCACTCAATGGGGCTATTCTAGAAATACCGAGGCATACCCCAGGTTTTATCAGCAACCTATTTATTGTCCCCAAAAAGGGTGGCGGAACCCGCCCAGTCATCAACCTCAAACATTTAAATTCCTATGTAAATTACCACCATTTCAAAATGGAGGGCATTCATTGCCTACGAGATCTGCTCCAACCATCTGACTGAATGGTGAAGCTCGATCTACAAAATGCATACCTCACGGTGCCCATTGCGGAAGCCCATCAGGACTACCTGCAATTCACATGGCAAGGAAAGAAATGGCGATTCCGCTGCCTTCCCTTCGGTCTCTCTTCCGCACCTTGGTGCTTCACCAAGCTCATGAAGCCAGTTGTTGCTCTCCTACGCAGTCGGGGGATTCATCAAATCATTTACTTAGACGACATCCTACTGCTGTCCGAATCGGTGCCCCAACTCCATACTCACCTCGGTTGGACCACAACCTTACTACAGAATCTAGGGTTCATTATCAACTGGGAAAAGTCCATACTAGTTCCCACTCAGAGGATAGAGTTTCTAGGACTCCTAGTGGATTCAGTAACGCAAACCCTATTCTTGCCTGCCTCCAAAATGAGGAATATCAAAAAAGAGATAAGGCGTGTTCTAGCCTCCCCGCATTTATCTCTCAAACACCTGGCCCTTGTCATCGGACTCCTGGCTGCCTCCATACAAGCCATTTTTCCAGGTCCCCTTCATTACAGAGCCCTCCAACACCTACAGGCGTCACACCTCAGGGGCGGCGCCTCATACGAGGATACCCAAACTCTAGATACAGAAGCGAAAGAAGAACTCCACTGGTGGCTACTACACATGGAGGCATGGAATGGCAAAGCCATTTTCGGCTCGGCCCCAGAGATAGTCATAAAATCAGACGCGAGTTCTTACGGATGGGGAGCTCGTTGTGGAGATGTTTCCACTGGCGGATGATGGTCGGACTTGGAATCCATCTTGCATATAAATTTCTTAGAACTCCTAGCGGGGTCCTTTGCGATTCGCAGCCTATCCCCGACCCTGTCCCAGTGCTCAATATTGTTGAAGATGGACAACATCTCGGCGTTCCATTATATAAATCGTGGGAGGCACGAGATCCAAAATCCTACCAAAATTGGCCCGGGATTTCTGGCAATTTTGCCTCCAACACAACATTGCTGTCAGAGCAGAATATCTACCAGGGTTGTCCAACACTACAGCGGATTGGTATTCCCATCACCTGTGGGACTCCAGCGACTGGCACCTCGATCCCCATATCTTGTACTACATCTGGGACCTATGGGGTCCTCTAACAATAGACTTGTTTGCCTCTCGCTTGAATACCCAACTTCCAAACTTTTTCAGTTGGAGGCAAGACCCGAAAGCTTTGGCTACGCATGCATTCTCCCAAGACTGGTCCACCACCAGGAACTATGCATTGCCTCCATTCGCCCTTATCCCGCGTTGCCTGCTTCACTTGCGACGCCACTTAGGCTGCCTAGTGATAATAACCCCCCTCTGGCCATCACAACCCTGGTTCCCTCCGTTACTAGAGATGACTATAGATCGCCCAAGACTCCTCTGGGACTCCCACTCCCTCCTATGGGACCCCGACGGGACCACCCACCCCCTGATCCCCCAGGGCCTCCTCCACCTCACGGCATGGCTAATTTCCGGGGACCCTGGGCAATCAAGGGACTTTCGCAATCGACTGTCCGACTTCTCAAGGGAGCATGGGCACCCGGCACGAGACAGTCTTACAAGTCTGCTTGGCGCACATGGGATGATTGGTGCGTGGCAAGGGGTGTGGATCCCCTATCAACTCCTGTGACAACTATCCTCCAATTCTTAACCTCCCTCTATGAGGATGGGGAAGCTTATCGGATGGTGAACCTCTACCGATCAGCGATTTCAGCCGACCACGCCGGCATTGACGGTACCCCGGTGGGATGACACCCACTTGTCTGTCGCCTCCTCCACGGCATCTGCTTTGCAAGGTCACCTTTACCTCATTATTCCTCCCTATGGGACGTCTCCTGGGTATTGAATTTCCTGACTGTGTCGCTAGACAATGAGGCTTTATCCCTGAAGCAACTCTCGGCTAAACTGGTCATGTTGTTGTGCCTAATCTCATGTAAAAGAGTATCAGACGTTAGGGCTCTCGATGTCAATGCCTGCTCCTTCTCCCCGGACTGAGTCGTCTTTGACATCTTGCGAAGGACAAAATCATCCTCCCAGTCGTCCGATATCCGAGTTCCCCCACGAAACCGCTCCTGTGCCCAGTAGCATGTCTCAAAGCGTACGAAGCTCGTACCGCTCCTCTCCGGATTGGTTCAGACCCCCAACTCTTTATCTCCTTCCGCAAACCGGATGTTCCGGTTTCCACTCCTACCTTGGACGCTGGGTCAAGTGGCTCATGTCCTTGGCAGGCATTGATACCTCTATATTTTCTCCGCATTCAGTTCGTGGTGCCATAGCCTCCAAAGCTTCCTTTGTTGGTTGTCGCTTGGAAGATATATTGAAAGCAGCTGATTGGTCCACGGAAACTACTTTCCGTAAATTCTATTTCAAACCAATCCAGCATTTCACAGACGCCGTGATATCACGGCTTTAAAATAGCATAATAGGAGCCTCCGGGTTTTACAATTACCATGACAGAAAGTCATGATTTTATCAAAGACGGCTTGGATGTGGGTTAAGGTAAGTTACAGACAACCCATGGTAAGTTCAGTTTGATGCTACGGATGCCACCACATACCTACATTGCTCTAGGGAATTATTTAATGATGGACTTTATTTGTCACTGTTATCTTCAGGCTACTAGTTTCCTCATACTACATTTATGAATTATTATCAATGTTTAATCAGACGATCAGCCCTCTATATTTGCTGACAACCCTCGATTTCTGGACATTACCATATTTTCTTGTTTCTTTTAGCGTGACTTGGTTGAAAGAAGTCCCTGAAGCACAGGCATAGTCCCTGAAGCACAGGCATAGGCAGTTTGTTTGTTTATCGTTTCTTGTTCGGAGTTGAATTATTCTTCGGGCTTCGCAAGAAAGAGGAAATGGTCATCGATGCTCTGCCTACTATAGGAGAAGGATGTCACTGATTGGAGGGTCATGTTACTAGGCGGACATTATCATTGTGATGTTTATACCTGTTCAAATGTTAACTTTTTTTTAAAATAATGTTTCTTTGCTGCTGAGGGAATTAAGGAAAGAGTGCAGCATAATACTCGCCTCCGTGTCTTTAATAAAATCATGACTTTCCGTCATGATAATTGTAAAATCCTTGAATTAAATATCGGTACACATATTTTAAATTCCCTTATTTAGTAAAATTTTGTGCTAGGCAGAGTTATAATTGTTAAATTGTATAATTGTTAAAATGTAAACTTACTAAATTAATGGCAGTTTACACAATGGATAAAGAGAACAAAAGAAGAATTAAAGGAAAACTACCAGCAACAGAATTCTGCAGCAATGATTCCTAAAATGGATGGTAGGCCTACCGTACACTCCATCCAGTACAAGAGAATATTCCTTTCTTTTTAGCTGATATTTTTTAAGCAGCGTGAAACCTCCGTTAGAGTTTTTAGCAGAACTACCAATGCTGCATGAGCTTCAAACCTGTGAGTTGTAACACAGTACGCGCATATAAAAATTGCAAACATACGACATTTAAATTATGGGAGTCTACAATAGCTTTTTTTTGTTGCCATGGAGACACAGCATCTGGATTTCGTCAATGACAGCAAGGGTGGTATTAAAAGAACCATTTGGTGACACATGAAAACACATATGTAAAAGCTTCACTATCTTTACAGCACAGAATATATTAATGCGAGTTGTATTTCCTGTGACTAGGAGAAGCATATTTTCTTTGCACCCTTCCATAGTTGGATCACAGTTTAAAATACTTGATTGGTTACTTACTAAAGTGTGAACTGCCAGGACTTCAACAAGGAATTTCACATTTTTGACCAAAATAGCCAGAATACATGATGGACTTGGAGAATTTTGTTATTTTGACCTAAAATTTGAAATTCACTTTGAAATCCTAGCAATTCACACAACACAGGGATATTTGACTAAAGTGAGAATTAAAAGTGATTTCACATTTAAAACCAGAGTAGCCGAGCAGAAAGCAGAGCTGACTTACAGATGTTTTTCTCGCTCACTATTTTGAACTTTAATTGAAAATTCATTTTTAATTTATCTTGACTTCACACGTTCGTGAATGCCCTGTTTGGTATTTGAGGAATGCAAGGTAATATAGACTGTAAGCTTGTTTGAGCAGGGTCCTCTTCAACCTATCATTCCTATAAGTTTTCTTGTATTTATCCTATTTATAGTTAAATCCCCCCTCTCATAATATTGTAAAGCGCTACAGAATCTATTAGCGCTATATAAATGGCAATAATAACATCACTCACCCAAACCTGATGAAAACAACAGGGCAATAAAAGGTTAAAACATGTTCTAAGGTATGAAAATTGAAAACCTGCAATAAGCCGTTCTTTTATAAGAGTAACATTAGGATTACTATATTACTTAATCCAATTATTTATGTAGTTCATATGATGCATGGACTTTCGTCACTTGCATCTGCATGGCAACCTCCCATATAGTTGGTATAATAGAACAGCAGTGGGTTAAATGTCTCTTGCCTGATTTGAGAAGGCCCAGTACAAAGCTTATCTGACTGAGTTCAAAGGCTTGGACTGGCTCTTTATGTGCTCTCTGCTGGGAGAGCATGGAAATCCTCCAAGGGGAAGGTTTCAATTCTCTGCCTGGATGTTGTCACCATGAGTCCATGCAGCATCGTAAGGCCTGGGGATCTATTTAACAATATAGATAAAGGAATTCCACACATTGTAATCTTCACAGAATAGACTACAGGTCTGGCCAACATATGTACGTTATCCCAAAGGAGACTGAATGACCACGTTCTCAGCGTGTTGCTCAGAATGTTCCAATTAAAAATGAAATTGTTATGTGTCATCCTGGAGGAAGGTGGTTGTACGTGTGAAATCTGCTTTATACATATCTGTGTTTTGAGTGTTCATAAAATGTTTACAGCTCATTAAGATTATTTATAAAGCGCCAACAAATTCTGCAGCGCTGTACAATGGGTGGACTAACATGCACGTAATTGTAACCAGACGAGTTGGACGCACAGGAACAGAGGGATCGAGGGCCTTGCTTAATGAGCTTACATGCTAGAGGGAGTGGGGTATAGTGACACAAAGGTAAGGATAGGATAAGATAGGGTAGAAAAGTAGGGTGCTATAAAAGTATTCACTGGGGGCTTAGTTTGTTGACAGTTGCAGGAGATGAATCAGGTTGCTGGGTTGGAAAGCTGTTAACAGTTTAATTGATACACATTCCTGAAGAAGTGAGTTTTCAATGATTGTTTGAAGAATTGGAGACTGGGTGAAAGTCTAATAAAGGACAAGGGAATGGAGTTCCAAAGAAACGGTGCAGCCCTAGAGAAGTCTTGAACGCGAGCATCAGAGGTGGGAGTACAAATGATAACAAAACAAGGTGTACTTGCAGATTGGGGAGTGACCGAGAGGAGTAATGTACAGTGTCTTTTAGTTTGTTTGCACTTATAACACACATACATACGGTTTCAAGGATACAGATAGTGATATGTATAATCTACAACTCATTTTACACCCTGTAGAGAATTTAAAGGAGCCTTGAAAGTGCCACATTCCTAAAAATATGATTTTAAGAAGCTCCCAGCAAATGAAAGATCCTTAAATAACATTCGAAATTGTTACCTGAACTTCTGGGAATTATTAACTTTGGTTTACCAAATTGGCCATTTTTTTTTTTCTAACCAGCCATAGATAGATTTCACATGTGAAGCGCTGCCCAATGGTATGTAGAATCCATATGCTCACAGAAGGAAATCATTCAATCACAGTTGTTCATAACAATGCACTCAGCGATTAATTCATTGAAATCCACCTACTGAGAGTCTTCAATGGGTATAAATAGAAAGAACCTCCTACAGCTATAGCCTCCATTCTCATATCAGAGACATAATAAAGCAGACACAAAACATGGTGGAGTATAATGCAGAGAAACTAATGAGCAGAAATGTTTTACCTCAGGTTAACCGTACAATCATTACACCCTGCTATACTCTTAACCTAAGGATGTCAGAGAAGGAACAGCAAGAAAATATTGAAAAACTGAATGGTGGGTTGAAAAGAAATGGTGGATTTGGGACACAACAAAAACAGAAGGTACAACGATAATATTCTTCACCTGTTATAAGAGGCATTAAAACTCTGTTGCTTAAAATGTCTCTGACAAAGTATCCTTTCTGTGTCAAACCCAGCTCCAATGGCCGAGGATGGAGAAAGAAATTATTGCAGACTGTCAATAATAAAGTTTTGGACAATGTCACATAGTAAACACAGTAGATGTTATCTCTTCGATTTTGTGTAATATTAAACACGTCTAGTCAATGCCCAGCATATAAGAAAAGCCGCCCGCCTACCTCTAAGGACTGGGAATACACTTCCTATTCTATACATATAGAATATGCCATTTTTTCCGTGACCTTAAAGTAGGGACTACTCTGTCGTATGGTAGAATCTGAGGTCTCGAGATATGATCTATGGAGGCTCTGTGGTCTCGCTCATACAGATATGTCTCCTAGCAGATGAAGCACCAGGAGCTGAAGTTGGTCCACAGGGAGAAAATGGGGAAAGCCACGAGAGACTGCTTCATGTAAATATAAGTACCCAGAAGAAATATTAAAAATAAGGGTTGTTGTGTTATATAGGAGAATGACTAACCAGATGGGCTAATTAGCTTTTATTTGTAGCCAACATTTATATTTCTATATATTCCTTGCATATAGTCTTACACTACCACTTACAGGATGCGGCTTTGTGTGAGACAGACGGGAAAACAGACTGAGCAAGCTTGATCATCATTCTGAATAACTAGGTGAAAGGTTAACATGAATGGGGGGAAGAGATAACAGGATCTCCAGAAATTACAGACTTTCTGAAACATATCCTCCTATTCTTCTATAATTTTCTGTATTGGAATTTTTTTTTTAAATATTGCTATTTTTTTATCGATCTGTTTAACTGTTTTGTTTTTTTTAAAGGATACTGTTACTACTCCGTAATTTATACTACTAAACAAAACATTGAAAACACCAAAAAAAAATGGTGTTCATCTTTCTTCTATGGCGTGCTATGTTTTCTTTTAAATTTATATTAAAGGTTCACCAACTTATATCATAAGCAAGTTTACGCAGGTCGAACATTGCAAACGAAAGGAGAAATAGAAATATTGTTTCATTTCTTCTTTTCTCTGTATGCAGTCGATGTGCTGTAGCCGCAGTAGTCATAAAGTTTCACAAATATTTGCTTTACCCATATATATATATGGTTAAAATGCAAACAGGAAATAAAATCTTTTCAATGCATTGAAGTCTCTGTGGTATGGTGAAACCGTTGCATGTATGTTTGAAAGGTTAGGATGTAAGGATATCCAAGAACAATATTGATAAAAACAGGACTAGTCTGTTGATGGTGCCTGAGAGCTGGTTTAGGAGCTGCTGCTTTGACAGTCGGATTTCAGACACACTTAATAACTGACACAAGATAACTACACCAATTAAGAGCTAATGAAAAGCCCTTGGACTTTTTAAAATCGAATTTTCATCAAAAAGAAGGTTGTTCTGGTCCATCCTGTTATCTGACGTGTAATGGTAATGTTTCATGATTGCTGGCACCCTGCTCATGAAAATGCATGAACAAGTAGTGAGTCATATGACGTCCATATTAAATTGCAATGGTAAGATTGCCTCTAGTGGTTGTCTGCCAGACAGCCAATAGAGGCACTTCCAGTAGTTTCACAGTGGATGTAATTGCACTTTTTTTTATCCATACATTCGCATCACTACATTCCACCTAAACTGGCACTGCACACAAGCATTCACATGCATTCTCAAATACAACGTGTGGTGCAGAGGTTCATAAGATATGCTTTGAACCACTACTGAAAGTTATAGCATCGCTTGAATTGTCAGACATGAGTGTCCTACTTACTTGTCTGGGCACAGGTCACAACTCAAAGCGTCAATATTGGTGTTTTCCCACAAACGACAAAAAACATCAAAGGTGAACATATTTATATTTGAATATATGTATATTGCAAATGCTGAATGCAGTTGCTATGTAAAACTTGAAGTTTCATTAAAGGGACACTATAGTCACCAGAAAAACTACAGCTTAATGTTAGTAGTGCTTACATAACTGCCTAGGAAGACCTCCCCTCATCTCCACGCTCTGCATAGAGGTGCTGAATGTTCCTCATTCAATGCATCTCTATGAGGAGATGCTGAGTGACGCAACGTGCCGCTTTGCATGCATGCACAATAGCCTCCCAATGTTTTCCTATGGGAAAACATTGGATTGGCTGAGATTATCAATTTTGATGATTTCAGCCAAGGAGGCGGAGGGGGTGGCAGACCCGTGTGGCGCTGGAATAAAAATATGTTTTAACCCTTTTTAATAGGGGCAAGGGAGGCCAGCTACCTAACCTATGTGTTTAACACTGTAGTGTCAGGAAAACACATTTGTAATTCTGACACTATAGCGTTCCTTTAAGCAAGGAATAACAAGGGTTAAGTAAGGTCAAGTGACCCTGATATATCCATACATTTATTTTCTAAAAATTGACCCCTGACGCACAGCATCTGTGGAGAGGTAATACCTTTCATTCAAAAGCGGAGCAGAGATACAGATGTGTATCTACTTACCTTTAGTGAGAGTAAAAGTGAGACTGTCACTAACCAAGAAGTGCGTATTTGATTTTGCAAGAATAGTGTGAAATTGAAATTCACCATGTATTCTAGATTTGTATTGATTGTTGGGAGTTATCGCCTTTGCTATTTTCGTCCCTTTTTATATCATTGACTTGATCACTAAATTATGCTGACGAAAGCACAGTGACAAGTAATCTATTTACATACCAACCACAATTTAGAGTGACAAAAAAAACAACTCAAGCCCATAATGTTCAACCTTTAACATATCTTGACTGCTGTACTCAATTTCCTGAAAAACATGCGTTTGCTGGTAATAAAATGTAGCCAATAATATGTTCTCATTATCTCACTAAGAACATGCTACTACAGAGAGTTGAAGTGATGTTGCTTAGAGTGTCCCTTTAAAGGGGAAACTAAAGGCTAGGAATACAAAATTGAAAGGGGGCTGCTTACGTGTCACCCACTCGTCAGCACAGAAAGGGTTAAAACCCATTGTGTCACTTACCTTAATCTAGGGCAGACATCCCTCAATGCTGGGTCACCGCCTTCACTCTGCCACCCCAACCAAGGTCGGGACCTAATGCGCATGCGCAGCGAGAGTCATGTTCACATTAGGACATCCCTATAGAAAAGCATTGTTTCACAATGCTTTCCTGTGGGGTTTTAGCAGATGCTGGATGTCCTCATCCATAGCTTGAGGATATCCAACATTAGTTAGGCTTTAATATAATATGTGTTTGTACTTGTATCTGCCTTTGGTACTAACTTAATAAGCAAAAAGGCGACTCTTTCAACATTCATCTACCGTATATACTCGAGTATAAGCCGAGTTTTTCGGCACATTTTTTGTGCTGAAAAACCCCAACTCGGCTTATACTCGAGTCACTGTCTGTATTATGGCAATTTACATTGCCATAATACAGACTGGGGGCTGGCAGAGCTGTTACTTACCTCTCCTGCAGCTCCTGTCAGCTCCCTCCTCCTCCGCGCCGGTCCGGTCAGCACCTCGGTCAGCTCCCAGTGTAAGTCTCGCGAGAGCCGCGGGGTCATAGTGCGGCTCTCGCGAGACTTACAGTGTGAGCTGAGAGAAGAGCTGCACGGACCGGCGCGGAGGAGGAGAGAGCTGACAGGAGCTGCAGGAGAGGTAAGTAACAGCTCTGCCAGCCCCCCTCCTCCCCCCACTGAACTGCCAATGCCACTGGACCACCAGGGAAGGAGAGCCCCCCTCCCTGCCATGTATCAAGCAGGGAGGTGGACAAAAAATAAATACATTAATAATATATAAATATAAATAATAATAATAATAAAAAAATAATAAAAAATAATAATATAATTTTTTTTTAAAATAATATTTTTTTTTATAAAAATGCCCACCCCCCCACCAAGGCTCTGCAACACACACACACTGCATTCATACACACACTGCATTCATACACACACTGCACTCATACACACACACACACACTGCACACTCATACACACACTGCATTTATACACACACTGCATTCATACACACACACACACTGCACTCACACACACACACTGCATTCATACACACACTGCAGTCATACACACACTGCAGTCATACACACACTGCAGTCATACACACACTGCAGTCATACACACACACACACTGCACTCATACACACTGCATTTATGCACACACACTGCATTCATACACACACACTGCATTCATACACACACACACACTGTAAATAAATATTCAATTAATATAATTTTTTTAGGATCTAATTTTATTTAGAAATTTACCAGTAGCTGCTGCATTTCCCAACCTAGTCTTATACTCGAGTCAATACGTTTTCCCAGTTTTTTGGGGTAAAATTAGGGGCCTCGGCTTATATTCGGGTCGGCTTATACTCGAGTATATACGGTACTTTTTTTGTACCTGGTGGCGAATTTGCTTTTGTGTTTTGTCAAAAATAATGCACTTTTTACTCCTGTCTAAATATTGGTATTAAAAATTAGAAAGAAAGAATTTTCTTCAAAACAAAACTGATAAACCAGAGACACAGGATTTAAAAAATTCTTTACCTCTGGGTTGTACACCAGTGGGCTCATACAACGAACACTCTGCTGATCATCACGAGATTTCTCCTTTGCACTCTTTTTTACCCTTTTCTTTTTCTTGGTTCCTGAATTTACAGGACGTCTGCAAAACCATCAAAAACACAAATGTTTTCTCTTTTTTGTTTCTCCTTTTTTTATTTGTTAAAGTTGTTTTGGCACATTTTTTCATTCATATTTATCATCTTATCAAACAATAAGTAGTTGCAAAAACTAGTCAGGACGTCACCTGCCTTAGCCAACCTGTTTTGTACCCAGAAGCGCTTAAGTGTATCTTTACCAGTTTTTGATTTCTGCCCTCTTTTTCAGGTTGACCCATTGCAAACCTGGGCTTCCCCGTCCCTTCCCTGCTGAAGTACTTACCTTATTATCTCTGAACAATAAGTGTAAAGGCTGTTAAAGACTGCAGTGGTGTCAGTAGTTATAAATATGGCCTCTCCCACTCCACATAGCTCACCATGACTCACATCAGGCAGTGATACCCCCATTTATTTTCCAATTTTTCTTTCTTTACGTAGGTCCCTAGGTGAGTACTTTTTAGTCTGGGCTGCAAGGATGGTTTCAGCTCACCACTGCAAACCAAAGCCTACACATTCCTTCCCTGCTAAAGGAGTCGGACTTATTGTCCCTGTCCACACACCTGGAAACTTTGAAAAAGTACCACACAGTTCACTGCAGTAGATCATGCAGAGTGTGCACGTTGCTGTACACATACTTTTCCTGAGCCTCTGCTTTAAATCACAGATGCCAAAAGGAAAAACACAACAACTATGAAATGATAGGAAATTCTTAGCATTAAGATGAAAAAGGAGGCAATAACAAATCTTAAAAAGAAGAAAAATGTGTATTACGCAAATAAGGATGTAGACATCATACTGACCTGGTGGATAGGGAACTGCTTTTAAAGGTTTTGGACTTATTTCCTGGAGCCATGTTAGGTCCTTCAATGAAAATAAATACAATTGGTAACATACACTACATCCAACTTGCAAAACATTGCCTAAAATAGTTTATTTTGACCATCATTTCACAAGTTGGTTCTCAATTTGGCAACTAGCTGTCTAGTGAATAAACAGGTAATTGTGATATGCAGCTTTAATGGTGGCAGGGAAATTCTATCTGAGAAAATATATCAAGATAACAGAATACAATTAAATGTCAGCAACAGCTGAATAGGAATTAAAGAGTAACTGTCACTTCTATACAATTTAATAAAACATTGAAAATCACGTATTATCTTTTTTAAACCCTTAAGGACGGAGGCAATTGTCCAAGTTCTGAAACCAAACAAAACTTTGAATTTGGTCTATAATAGGTCAGTTCAACCACAATCTACCGCTTTCATATTATGTACACCCACAATTGTTATATATCATTATGATCAGGAGAGGTAGGGCTTTCATTTCACAACACATACTTATGAAATGAAAATTACCCCCATCATGGCATACCATTAGCAAAAGTAGACAACTAGAGTATTCAAAATGTGGTATGTCTAGTTTTTTTAGTAGCCACTTAGTCACAAACCCCGGCCAAAGTTAGTGTTCATACTTGCTTTTTTGCATTTTCCACAAAAAACTGCCCCTTTACTGATAAGATCATTGTCATTATACATTTTACTGCTCTAAAACACTCATATTTGTGATCAGCTGTGTCTCACGAGTACCCCCAGTATCCCCATGTACAGGTTGTATAAGGTTTTAAAAAGTTACAGGGTCAAATATAGGGCTTGCAAATTAAATTCATAATACACTCAGAATTTAAAAAAAAAAACAACAACAAAACATAACTTCACTCTAAGTGTAGATTTTTTTATATATATATTAGGCATGTGCATGGGAAAAATATTTGGCTCGGTTCGGCATTCCAAAATTCGGGACTTCGTCAATTCGGAACTTCGCCAACTTCGGAATTTCGGGACTTCTCTTGCAACCGCTTGGTAGATAACTCCCTAATTCCCACGGTATTAGGGAGTTATCTACCAAAAGGCTGAAAGACTTAAATTGGTCTTTCAGCCAAATTTACTAATACTAAGTAAAAATTACTTAGTATTAGTAACTTTTGCCCCTACTTGCTATAGTGTGAGAAGGGGCATGCCTATTAAACCTGTGGCTGCTCACTGTTAAAAAAAAAAAAAAAGGGTCCGCGCGAGTGGGGGCTTTTAAACTAAAGGTGGGTGGGGGTCCTAAACAAGAATAAGGGGGGGGGGACCTAATGTCCTCCCCCCTGGCTTCCACCCCTGAGCGGTGGGTGGGGGCCCTAAATACAAATTGGGGTGGACACCTAATGCCCTACCCCCTTACCCCCACCTCTGAGCAGTGGGTGGGGGCCCTAAATACAAATTGGGGGGGACCTATTGTCCTCCATCCTGGCCCCCAACCCTGAGCGGTGGGTGGGGGGCCCTAAACTAGAATAAGGGGGGACCTATTGTCCTCCCCTTGGCCCCCACCCCTGAGTGGTGGGTGGGGGCCCTAAACTAGAATAAGGGGGGGACCTATTGTCCTCCCCCGTGGCCCCCACCCCTGAACGGTGGGTGGGAGACCTAAATACAAATTGGGGGGGCCTAATGTCCTCCCCCATGGCCCCCACCCCTGGGCTGTGGGTGGGGGCCCTAAATACAAATTGGGGGGACCTAATGTCCTCCCCCCCACCCCTGAGCGGCAGGTGGGGGCTCTAAATACAAATTTAACCCCCCTCCCCCAGGTGACTATGGGTCCCCAAACCCCTAGTCACCCCCTCCCCAAAAAAATGAACCCCTACCTACCCCCCTCACCCTAAAAATAATGAGGGGGGGACCTTTAACTAAGTACCTGTAAAAATAAAAATAAACTTATCATTTGATGTTTTCTTTCTTCTAAAATCTTCTTTTTTCATTCCCAAAAAAGGCCAAATAAAAATCCATAATAACCGACGCAATAAAAAAACCAGAGCGCAAAAAAAGAAATAATCCATCTTCATCCGGCGAGGGCTCCGCACAGACTGAGCACTGCAGGGCGTGGGAAGGCTTATAAAGCATTGCCCTGCCCCTCAATTAGGCTCAGAGCACTCTGATTGGTGGGTTTAAGCCATCCAATCAGAATGCTATGACAGGTAAATGAAGAGACTGACAGGTAAGTCTCTACATTTATCTGTCACAGCACTCTGATTGGTTGGTTTGAAATCCACCAATCAGAGTACTCTGTGTCATTTTACACAGCGTGGGAAAGTTCTTTGAAATTTTCCAACGCTGTGTAATTTGACTCATAACACTCTGATTGGTTACTTAATCCACCAATCAGAGTGTTATGAGTCAAATTACACAGCATGGGAAAATTCCAAAGAACTGGTAAGTTTATTTTTATTTTTACAGGTACTTAGTTAAAGATCCCCCCCTCATTATTTTTAGGGTGAGGGGGTAGGTAGGGGTTCATTTATTTGTGGAGGGAGTGACTAGGGGTTTGGGGACCCCTAGTCACCTGGGGGAAGAGGGGGGTTAAATTTGTATTTAGGGCCCCCACCCGCCGCTCAGGGGTGGGGGCCAGGGGGGAGGACATTAGGTCCCCCCCCCTATTCTTGTTTAGGGCCCCCCACCCACCACTCAGGGGTGGGGGCCAGGGGGGAGGACATTAGGTTCCCCCCAATTTGTATTTAGGGCCCCCACCCACCGCTCAGGGATGGGGACCAGGGAGGAGGACATTAGGTTCCCCCCCCCCTTATTCTTGTTTAGGGCCCCCACCCACCGCTCAGGGGTGGAGGCCAGGGGGGAGGACATTAGGCCCCCCCTTATTCTTGTTTAGGGCCCCACCCACCACTCAGGTCCTCCCCCCCCCTTTTTACTTTAGGGGCTCCACTCGCCACTCAGGGGTGGGGGCGGGGGGGCAATAGGTCCCCCCTTTAGTTTAAAAGCCCCCACTCGCACATCTGCTCACTGTTTAATAGACATGCCCCTACTTGCTGTATAGCGAGTAGGGGCATAATTTATTAATACTAAGTAATCTTTACTTAGTATTAGTAAATTTGGCTGAAAGACCAATTTAGGTCTTTCAGCCTTTTAGTAGATGGCTCCCTAATACCGTGGGAATTAGGGAGTTATCTACTTATTCATTCCTGTCATTGCATTGACTGGCTAAGTAACTTACATTTTATATGAATGTATGTTACTTGATTGTTGTAAGTGTTGCAAACGCTTACAGCTGAATCCTGGCTATGTTTGTATACTTTTTATTTAAAATTGTATACAATGAAACATTCTTCGTCTTTCACTGGGTAAGTATATTAGTACTTAGGCAATACTGTGCTTCAGAACTTCAGCACTTTGACACCTCGGAACTTCGGAACTCCGGCACTACTACACTTCGGAAATTCGGTAATTTCGTCACTTTGGCAATTCAGCTATTTGGACATTCGGAAGCACCCGAATGTCCAAATTACCCGAAATTTGGCCGAATTTTAATTTCGACCGAAACAAATTGCACATGTCTAATATATATATATATATATATATATATATATATATTATTTTTATTAAATATATATTGGGGAATCTGTCGACAACAGGCATTTCCCCTGCAGCCAATCAAGCCGAGTGTCACTACGACATTGTTACATTGTTCTTCTATTCACGTCCCAAAATCAAATCTTAGTGGCTGAAAATTCTCAAATATTAAAATTCAATGTATTTTTATCCCCATGTCTTTGTCTCGTTAAGCAAGTTCCACTTCTCTGAGTGCCTATAGTGTCCCTTTAAGCTAAAGTTGTTTTGGTATTTATAGTGTCCATTTAAAAGGACAGGGCCACTGCATGCAGACCACTACCTGGAGATGGGTGACTTTAGTGTTCCTTCATACCAGGGGTGGGGAACCTTTGGCCCTCCAGAAGTTTTGGACTGCATCTCCCATAATGCTCTTATAGCCATAATGCTGGCAAAGCATCAAGGGAGATGTAGTCCACAACATCTGGAGGGCCAAAGGTTCCCCACCCCTGCTTTAACCCCTTAAGGACCAAACTTCTGGAATAAAAGGGAATTATGACATGTCACACATGTCATGTGTCCTTAAGGGGTTAAACACGCTGAAGTTTTAAAGCACTGTGAATGAAAGCTTTTGGATTTAAAATGGTTTGGAAACCTTTGAATTTCAATGGTTTCCTGTATAAAATATATATATCTTAGGATCTTGAGGAAGACCCTGTAGGGTCGAAACGTCGGTCAGATGATGTAACCTTTTTATTTATTTAATAAATACCAACGGATTTATTGTAAAGTCCTGAGAGTGCATCTCTTATTTCTCTATATATTCTATAACGTGGGATTGCACCAAGGCATCAAGAGATTTATTTAATGAGAGACAGGGTGAGTGCCAAGCTATTTATTTTTGTATATATATATTGTGAGAAGTCCTTGCACTCAGGCTATAAACGTAACTACCTGCTGGGTGCTCAGCCTGGGGCTCTAATATCCAGAAAATAGTAAGAATGGCAGCACTCACGGTCTTTAAATAAAACTTCTTCTTTATTCAGCTAGGTTAAAACATGGGATGATCATTGATCCTGATGAAAGTCTCAGAGAGATTGACTGAAACGTTACTATTTTCTATATATACTGTAATAAAATATTATTGTGTCTTTTAGGGAGGTCGTGGCACAAAATGTGAGTTATGGAATATAGGTTTCACAATTTACCTTTTACACAAATGTCCACAGGAGTAGAATGAGCTATCTAGATGAATGTGCAGGGGTTTAAGAACATAAAATGCACAGGAAAAAAAAACCAATAAGTAATCCAAGCGGAAACATGTGTCTCAATATAAAATACATCCAAGGACTTAACGATCTCCATCTTACCTGAGCCTTTATTATATTAACCCTTTATGGTGACTGCAGGTGTTGGGATTATGACACCCAGTAAGGTTGGATTGTTATCTGGGATAAGCTGCCACTAGGCACTGCGGCTGTTCCTTACCACTGACAAACCCGTCGCCTTGGTAACGGGGACAACATGCGGTGACTGTGACTCATGAATTGTTAACTCCCGAGTTCTAAACACCAGAGGAGGGGCTGCAGAGTATCAAGGGGTCTGCTCGGTGTTCCTTCGTGCCACGCATGCGCAATGTGGTTTCATTAGTTGGACTTACTGGCGTCTACTAGAGTCCGCAGACTCCGCCAAAATGGCTAACCTGGGGAAATAATAGCACTTGCAAGGTCATGATTTCACCTCACGGACTGTGAACGAATATGTTAAAAATCTGATTGGATTAAATTGTGTGAATGGACCTACAACATTATTACAGTAGTACCGTTTTGGATTCCCAGAAACCATAAGGACATGTTGGGGGGTATTTGTCTGCATAAGCAATGCTCACACACTTTCAGGGTTTTAACAAAGGAATGTGCATGTTGTAGGACACATTAATAGATATGGGAAAAGTGTCCAATACTGATTCATATTTGTTGCAATTGCCTTATGCCTGGGGACTGTTCCCTAGTGTCAAGGTTAACCTCCCCGACATGCAAACTAAGGGGCTCAAAAGGTACACAAAGCCAGATGTATTACCGGTCCTTTGAATGGCCGGACTTGACGCGCAAAAGTACAGAGATGAGAACAGAATGGTCAGACGAGCCAAGGTCAGGATAGGAGACGGGAGAAAAAGAACAAAGAACAAAGCCAAGGGTCAAGAATTCCAGGTAGGATAAACAGGAAACAAGCCAAAGTCAAATACCAGAAAAGACAAACCAACAGAAAGCACTCTCGGGCTACAAAAGACCACGACAGGGCAAGTAAGTGATGAAAGAGGGAGGTATAAATAGGGCTAAGTGAGAGCTAATAGGCTAGGGAACCTAGTAGGGCAGTAATTAAATAGATATACATAGAATCAATGGTAAAAAAATGGTACTTCCCCTTTAAGAAGCCGGAGATAAGGCACAGGCCCCCTAGCTTGTAATAGCGTGCGTGTGCGCAATGTTGGCCGGACGCCTGCACACTGCGGAAGTGGAGGGACAGAACAGACGCCGGGGCCAGAGCAGCGCAGGCCGAAATTGGGACTGTGAAAAAGGACCCCAAAATAGGGACTGGTCTGCCATAAGCGGAACAGTTGGGAGCCCTGAATTTTATTCACAATTCTCTTTTTTAAGTATGCACAATTCTTGGTTTAGTGAATAAATCCATTTCTTATAAGCACATCAGGGTGCTTCCCCCAGTGAAGGACCTCTGGACTCTCAAAGGACTTGCGCAAAAATATAGGTCTACAAGTGCAAATGTTTCAAGGCAGGAACAAAATATTGCACAAATTATAGCTCTCGCTCGCTCTCTATATATATATTTATTTAAGTATATACTTGTTGAATTAAGCCCATACATAGAGCCAAATTAGGAGCCTATGAGGCTCTAGTTTTGTGAGTATAAACTTATATACATACGGATAACCTATACTTTAAAGGATCACTATAGTGTCAGGAAAACAAAGCGGTTTTCTTGACACTATATTGCCCTGAGAGTGCCCCCACCTATGACGCTGAAGGTGTTAAAACCCCTTCAGCAGCTTACCTTAATCCAGCGCTGGGCTGCCTCAGCGCAGGTGACCTCTCCTCCCCGTCCGACGTCAGCTCCCTAGGCCCTGGTGACCTCTCCTCCCCGTCCGACGTCAGCTCCCGAGTGGAGCGGAAGTGCCGCGCGCAAATAGTCCATAGGAAAGCATTTCCCAATGCTTTCCTATGGACGCTCTGCGAGATGGATGCGAAATTCACATCCAGTGTCGCAGATGCGCCTCTAGTGGCTGTCCAGAAGACAGCCACTAGAGGCTGGATTAACCGCAAATGTAAACATAGCAGTTTCTCTGAAACTGCTATGTCTGCATCTGAAGTGTTAAAACCTGAGGGACCTGGCACCCAGACCACTTCATTGAGGTGAAGTGGTCTGGGTGACTATAGTGTCCCTTTAAAGCAAAATTACACTATTTAATATCTCCTTTTCTGGATTTCGGTTAAATCCTCTGTAATCCTAAAAGAAGGGAATGGTCATCTCACTGACCAGAAGGCTGATATTACCAGAGCTAGGTTTATTAGCTCTTTGAAATGTGAGTGTGGCTATACAGGCACTTTGTATTTAAATCTTTTACAAAAAGGTTCTGCACCATTGTGTGTTTTTCTATTTATATTTCAAGGTTGCAATTTGAACACTACCAGTATCTGGAAGCACAAGTTATGTTGTATCAATTTTTTTAACGTTTTTTTTTCACATTTTTTTTCTTTTATAGGAGATTCACTTAGATTTTTTTTAAATTGTCCCTATTATACTAATTGTGCTACTTGTTTCGTCCACCAAGTGCAATTTCTCAGGAACCACTGTTATACAATATGAATGAAACAAAGCAAATGACAATTGGATGCATGATCCCCTCCTGCCAGATTCCCATTTAAATTTCCTTCTTTCTGCCTCTTATGCATTCACTCAGCAATTGAGAACATTTGAATTGTGCGTTCCAGCCGTAATTCCTCCCATTTCTTTAATTGTGACCAGATACTAGAAATGTGCAAATTCGGATGATTTGGACATGTCCGAAGTGCTGAGGATTTCTGAAAAGTGGCAATAAACTTTTTTTTTTTTTTTTAAAGAGTGAGGGAAAATTATGTGAATGATAACAGGGTTAGGGTTAGGTTGGCTTAGGGTTAAGGTAGGGTAGAGTTAGGGTAGGGTTAGGGTTAAGTTAGGGTTAGGGATCCCTGCAGATTTTCCTTATTGCCGAATTTCTGAACCGAACCGAATTTTTGGATCATGCACATCCCTGCAGGATACGTAATAGTAGCAAGTATGAGCAATACAAACTAGCGTAACAGATATTTAAACGGGAAAATATACAGCAGTACATGATATCAGGAACCTAGATGTTAAAATATTACAAAACAAAACTTTTGACATAATATGCTATCTTATATATGAAAATAGGAAACATGGGTATCGGAATACATTTTTATTACATAACTGCTCCTATTTAAAGCGATTTAAAGTTTGTAAACATGTTTTTGCTGGAGTCTTTTGAGAGTTCAGATTCCAGTGACAGCAATCAGTTTGGCCCCCCAACTTCACCCTGATGTGCTTTTAAAACTGCTTCTTGTGAGTGCAATTTATCTTGAGGGGGGTTTATTTACTTAATGGTGTTGCATGTTTTGTTTTTTTCCAGAATCTATGCTGTTTTTCTATTTTGTGTTTTGCATATAACACTGATTTATAACTGCAAGCTGGTATAACTTTAGAAGATTTTTGTCTCTGGCCTGTAGTTGAGCTCACGTGTCTGCACTCACTTACAGTCAGGATACTCTTCCCCCCCATAAGTATACTTTTTAATTCTTTATTTTTGGTCGTGCAGGAGTATACAGGGTAACCCGCAATGCCACGACAGCAATTGCCGGCAAAAGTCAAATACACAATGAAACAATGAACATGACAACAGTTGTAGTTAGCAATAACGTTACGTTTCTACTCAAGTAAACAGCACGGTATTTTGTGATAAAGGTTTAGTAGCTAAACTGCGCAATTTCAATTGTAGAAATAAAAAAATTCTGAAAAAAAAGTAGTCAGCAGAGAGACAAAGTGACATAAGATAAGAGTTTGGTTACACTAACTGACTATACGAGGTTATGCAATAGTGGTTAAGTTACATGCTATGCAAGATGCGGTTTGATCAGTGGAAATAATAGATTTTGAGTTACACACTAGGCAAACAAGTGAGAGTTTATTTTAATGGTCCCGCTCCCTAACGAGGTGTGGAACCCTGTTTTGGCTAGGTAGTAGGCCCAAGGTTAATACAGGGTGGGGGCCCGTGAGTATGACAAATGTGGTGCAGGACAGTTTTAGGACAGAGGATCCTTGAGGATCAGATAACTAGATTGGGTAACTTGGTATGGTGTCCCAAGATTTTGAGTGAGCCTGCTCCGCCAATTGTTATGTATGTGGGTCAAGAAGATTGGAGCTGGGGGGATGGACGTAATCAGGGGAGATAATTGGGTCTCAATTCACCCAGTACGGTCGTTCAGCCATATCTAGTTTAGGGAGGAGAGTGATCCCTAAGTGTAGCACAACTTTTTAAACAAAACTAAGGCATTGAAATAAAATGCAGATAACTTAATAGGAAGAGAGAGGGTCCAAGTCCCAACAAAGATGTTGCCGTTTTCAGGTGGCAGGTGCGCCCGCTGTTCCTCGAAATGCAGGAGGAACCACGGTAGCGGGGTTCCAGGTGGTGGTAGTGGGTCGAGTGTTAGTTCTTGGTCTCAGTGAGGACAGGATAGCGTCCATTTCAGATGCCTCCATGACTCTATTCTACACCATTATGAGGTGTGCCCCATCGATACTTCATTCCTTGGGATGTGAGCGTGGATGCCAGGGGACTCAGCGACTTCCTCCACTGTAATGTTGAGCGGGAGAGGTCAGCATAGAACGTGAGGTCCATTTCTTCAAAGTGGTATGGGGTCTTCCCCCTGGTGGCTTGTAAAATGGCTGCTCTGTCTTGCCTGTTTTGAAATTTAACCAGGAGGTCACTGGTGGTTGGGGCTGTGTTGGACTGAGGCTTAGGTAGACAAAACATTCAATCCAGCTGTATGCCCTTTGCTGTTTTACGGGGTAGTAATGCCATGAACAGCCTACGTAGGAAGTGTGGCATCTCTGCCATAGTAATGGAGTCCGATAGGCCTCTGATCTTCAGGTGTTTCAACCTCCTCTTATCCGCTAGAATTGCTAGCTGGCTGTCAAAGTTAGCCTGAGCCGTGGTGAGGTCCCTCACCTGCTTCTGCAGGTCTGCGATTTGGGGAGTGTGATCCTCCACTGCTTGTTCCACCTTGGTTAAACGGGCTGTGAATCCCCTGACATCCTCCCGTACTTGGGATATATCTGCAGAGAGACTTTGTCGGAGGTCAGCCAAAAGGTTAGCAAGGATGGTCGTGGTAAGTGGGATTGAGCTGCTGTCTGCCTCCGGAGGTGGCTTGGGAGGTCCCTGGAAGCCCAGAGCTGCTGGGTTATGCAGGGTGAACTATTCCGAGACGTCAGAGAAATCGTCCAGCACGTCCGCCCCGCTTGCACAATGCGGCCTTCTAAAGAGTTCACTGATGTCAGCCGTGTTCCCGGGCCGGACTGGTCCGGCCTCGATTTTTTATTCTTCCGCCCCATCTGCTTACGGACACCGTCGGCTATGTCCAGGGCAAACTGGGCTCCAGAAAGCTACTTTTTTTTTTTTCAATTTGAAACCTTGGTTTTAATGGTGTATCACATTGCTTAGCTTTCGGCGCCTGCTTGCCAGGGTACAGAATGAGAGAGAAGGGGGTTATGCAGGACATTTTGTTACATCATTGGGGTTAAGTACATTTTCAGTTTTGCACATTATCGCCTTTACACAATACCTTCCTTTTCTCTATTTAGGATTACTGATCCTTCCATAAGTTGGCTCGGGAATCCCCTGGTTCCCTTTCTGTCAGTACATGTGATTTCGTTGTGGGTATGTAATTTGCACTTGCTGTACAGTCCCCTCTAATCGTTGCCATGTCGCCCGCTCTACTTCCTTTCTTTATCTTTGTGTCCCGTTCCTCCCCCTTGTTGACCTTGGTGCTCGCTGAGGTACGTTCTCCATCTCTCCCCCGCTTGACTCGTGTGTTTCCCCTGCCCTATGTGCTTGTCTGCCATTAGCTCATATTTCCAATTGAGAGATGTTTGGGTTATTAGGGCTTCTCTAGTGGGTGTTTGTGTGGATTTCCATGCCCTTGCTATAATGGTCACTGCTGATACAAGTAGGTGGAATACCAATCTCTCTTCTGTTTTTCCTAGTGTTGTTGGTATCTTGAATAGTATACCTTGTTCTATGTTTATAGGACAAGTTCTACCCAACATCTCCGTTGCCACCCTCTCCACAACGGTTTCATATTGTTACATGATCACCATATGTGGCTCATCGAGCCTTCCCTCCCTCTACACCTCCAGCATTCAATTGGTGTACCTTTGTATATCGCAGCTAGTTTCTCTGGTACCATGTATCATATGTATTGTAGCTTTCGGATGGTCTCTGGGTGGGTTGTGCATAGTGTATTCCCCTTGTGTATTGTGAATGCCCTTTGCCATGCTTCCGCCTCAATACCGTAGCCCAGTTCTGTGTGCTATGCTGTTTGGAAATTCATGGCTGTCCCTGTGTCTAGTGTCAGTAGGGAGGTGTACATTGTCGACAGTGCTTTTTTGGGGGGTCTGCCCGCCAGGCAACAGTTTGTTGTCCTTATATAGATGTTTAATCGTGGTGCAGCCCTGCTCTTCCCATGGTTTCGTGTCTAGGGATGGGATGCCCACTTTGAGGCATGTGATTGGCGCGTCCAGCCGTATTTTTCTTTGTTCCTTCCCTCCTCCCCTTTCTTCGTCCCAGTGTTTTAGTGTCAAAATAGTGGTCGGTAAGTGGTATATGTGTTGTGAGCGCAAGGATTTCGGGAGCCAAAAGAGGTCCCTCAGGTCCTGTTTATTGATCCAATGGGCACTTTGGCAGTGCTATAGGTAGAGTGAGTAAAAGATATTGGAATTTTGGGAGTAGCATCATTTTCACTGCTGCTATCCTCCCCACCCATGATAAATATTTCCATTCCCATGATCTTAGTGTGGTGGCCATGACTCGTGAGTGCGGTGTAGTTTTTTTCCAATAAGTTGTTTGAGTTGGGTGGGATTTTGATACCCAAGAAGGTTAAGTGGTCTGTTCTCCAGGGGAAGGCTGCTTTGAGTCTCTCTAGCGTGTTTGGTTGGATCCCCAGTCCCATGGCTTGAGTCTTGGTGACATTTAGTTTATAATATGATTGTTTCCCCATATTCGGCAATGGTTGCCATTAGGTTTGATAATGATGTGTGTGGCTGCGTTAGGGTCAGTAATACATCGTCTGCGAATAGGTTCGCTTTATATTCTCGGTCTCCTATTTTCACTCCATGGATTGATGTGTTTTGTCTTATGGCCGCTGCCAGCGGTTCAAGGGCCATCACGTATAGCAATGGTGAGAGGGGGCACCCCTGTCTTGATCCATTCGTTATCTTGAGAGGGTCTGAGACGAATCCTGCATTTAGGACCCTTGCTGTGGGTGAGTTGTATAATGCCCTGACCGCTGAGGGGAAGCCCTCCGGCACCTCAAACCCGAGGAGGACCTTTTCCAGGAACTCCCAGCTCAGTTGGTCGAAGGCTTTTTCTGCGTCTAGCGACACCAGCAAGCCTCCCACTTTCATGCGTTGGGCACTCTGAATGATATCTAGTACTTTCCTGGTGTTGTCCCCTCCCTGTCTATTTTTTATAAACCCAATTTGGTCGGTGTGGTTTATGTGGGGTAGTACCTTGCTGAGTCGCGTTGCGTATATTTTTGCTGGTATTTTTGTACCTTTTTTAGAATTTTTGCTGTGCTTTTTCGATGGAGCTCCGCGGACATGTGACCGCTCCAATCGTGAGTTAGCTCTGCCCTGACCATAAGTATACTTTTAAAAATAATGTAGTATATGCAATGAGGTATCGCAAACAATATTTAAACATTAAAGACTTTACATCTGTTTAATTTTCTAAGTCTTTTAATTGAACAAATATGAACAATTCCTTACAACAAATAAATGCTGCCAGTTTACATCCATGATGTATGTCAAGAGCATCTCCATTAAAGCAGAAAATATGCAAAAAAGTGACAAAATAATATCATATAGACATCCCAGATTGACAGATAAAAAATAACTTTGGGATTCCCATGATTATAAAATAGGATCTTAATATGGTAGTGAACATGTAACTAATCTAGTAAAAAGTATACCATATTTAGTATTTATACCTCAAAAAACATATTTAACCAGTATGTACACTAAAGGTTTTTTATTTTCCCAGTTATGGGAGAGGGTTTAGGAATGCATTCCAAAGCGTTAAATAGTCTTCTGTCTCCGTCAAATAATAAAATTGAGAAGAAAAAAAAATACAAACAAACATTAAACATTCGCTTACAACTTTAATGTTGGTTGTTCTGGCTCGTGCAACATAAAAACAAAGCCCCCAAAGTCTAAAAACACACAAATAAATAATTAAGTATGTGAGTCTAGATAGAGTTACTATATATGAAGGAAGATGTGTTCACTATGACAGTAGCCATCATGTGGAAATGCAATAATTTCAAGCTTCACATGTTGGCTGGCTTAGCATTGTGGGTTAGGTTGCAAGACTCCCCACATGGGATTATGAACACAGCATTTCATCATGATGATTGTGATGCCCCACACCACGTACAATTCCTATGCTTAAAGTGCATCTGTCTTGGCAGGTTCACTTTAATTGAAATTGTACACATGGCATTGAATACATAATTTAGCGATACATTATGTACTCAATGTAAAGGTTCTAGAGATCATTATTAAATATTATTGTTACTAACCTCCGGTCCTGCTCCACCAAGTACTCCGCACCGGGGGTGCCACATTAATGTAACACCCACCTTCAGACCTGGATAATATTAAAGGGACACTCCACTGCCCGAATAAAATTAACACTACAAAACTGTTTAATAGAAATCCCTCAAATAAAAACAAACGCATGTAATGTTTTTCATGGAGGTAAATCCAAAAACATCTTGCACAAGCTGCAGTACTTGTGTGCAGTCTTTGCAAGCCATCCCATTCTTCTGCAGCTCAATGAGAAGTCTTTGCAAGGCAGGTGCTCAGAGCAATTGCGGTCTCTTTAGTTTAGCTACATTGAGCTATGCAAACCAGGACGTAACTGGACCTGTTGTCGACTTGAAAGCCGGGGGATGTAACCAGGCTAAATTTATTTTAAAAAGTGTAAATTTCTATGAAAATCCAAAAATAAACAATAAATAGAAAGACATCACACAAAGCATTTCCGCATGCTAATGTGCTTTAGAGGTCCGGAGTGTCCCTTTAATAGAATGGGCGATTGTAGGACCTTGTTATGTAAACATTGGGGAAGTCACTGAAGACTAAATCCCCTATGGCTGCATCAAGGCAACTAAAATATATATTGAACTGTTTATTAACCTGAATGAACAGGATATAAAGCTGACTATCTCTGATGCTGGACCCTACAGATCCACATCTTTAGTACTGGCAAGGAGGACTTAAGGTATTAGATCGACAGAAGGATATGCTATGTTAAGCACATCACAACAGAGATCTTTATTCAAAGCAAAATAGCTCTATGGTTATTGAGCAAACACAGCTGCAAGGAGGGGGTTCTTAATCATAAAGATGACAAGCAAGCACCTCTTGGTGTGAAATCTGTACATCTCCAGTGCCAGCTCCATTTCTTGTGCTTCCAGTTGTTTGCAAGTCTGTTTCACGAACGTACAATAAAGCTATTATGCATTGAATATTCACATTTTCCATGATCCACTGTGAAGGCTGCATGACATATCCTTTTGGGGACATAATCACTCAGTAGCAATATTTACTTTTTAAAATTGGAGAAATTAACATATTAGTATTTAATCTATAGCACAACATTCCATTGTACAGCTCTGCTAAATCTATTGGTGCTATATAAACAATAATAATTACACAGGGTAATTTGATGGCAGTCAATTATGGCAACCTAGAGTCCTTTACACACAGATGCAATTTTAAATCATACACATTCAAATTCTGTGACATAAGGCCATTACATACGAAGGGTTAGAACTGTGACTGAGAAGCCAGTCTTGTAGGTATTAGCTTGCTTAAGCAGTAAGTTTTTTTTTTTTTTTTTTTAAGCAGTATAACATAGGTTTAAAAAAAGCAATTAAAAGAAACCAATTGCTTCAGGATAGAGAGTAAATTAATTTTCTCAAAAGTTGATTTGCAGCATGATAATGTTAAATCATAATTCATGCGCTCCTTCAAGTCAATATAGGATTTTGGTTGTGGATTGCACCAGGGCAATCATGGAACCAAATTAATCACTAACGAGTGCAGGTTCCTGGTAGGTAGTTCTTGTATGATCTGTCCATTATTTCAAGAAGTAGATCAC